CTTAGGCCCCGACGGCAAGAAGGCGGAGGAGAAGGACGACGACGATGACCGGTTCAAAGACCCCGATAACGAAGTTGGCCTGTTCGCAGGTGGCGTGTACGACAAAGATGACGAGGAGGCCGACAGGATATGGCAAGAGGTTGATGAGAAGATGGCAAGGAGAAGACAGAAGCAACGAGAAGCGCGTGAAAAGGCCGAGCAAGACGAATACGAACGGAAGAACCCCAAGATTCAACAACAATTCGCTGATCTTAAGAGAGCACTATCGACAGTCACCGACGACGAGTGGGCGAACCTCCCTGAAGTTGGAGATTTGACAGGAAAGAACAGAAGAAGCAAGCAGACCTTGCGCCAGCGCTTCTACGCGGTTCCAGACAGCGTTCTGGCTGCGGCAAGGGACTCATCGGAGCTAGGCACCACCGTTGCGGATGACGGAGCAGCATCAAGCTCCGAACAAGCGGACGGCACGATGACGAACTTTGCCAAGATTGGTGCCGCCAGAGACAAGGTTCTCAAATCCAGACTCGAGCAAGCGTCACAGGACGGAACCGAAACGTCAGTCGGCGGCAGCGCATCGAGTATCGATCCCAAGGGCTACATCACCAGCTTAAACAAAAGCGTCCTCAACGAGTCGCAAGCTCAGGTCGGTGATATCAACCGTGTACGCGAGCTGTTGACATCCGTCATCAAAACGAACCCGAATAACGCGCCTGGTTGGATCGCTGCGGCGCGCTTGGAGGAACTGGCGGGCAAGACGGTCGCTGCACGCAATGTGATAGCACGCGGATGTACACATTGCCCCAAGAGCGAGGATGTGTGGTTGGAGAATATTCGACTCAATGATGGCAAGAATGCGAAAATTATTGCTGCCGAAGCAATCAAGAAGAATGATCGATCTGTCCGTCTCTGGGTCGAGGCGATGAGACTAGAGAATGAGCCTAGGGCGAAAAAGAAGGTCATCAGACTTGCTCTGGATCATATTCCCGAATCAGAGGCGTTATGGAAGGAAGCGGTCAACCTCGAAGAAGATCCGGAAGATGCCCGGTTGCTGCTGGCCAAGGCAACAGAGCTTATACCCCTATCCGTTGATCTGTGGTTAGCCTTAGCAAGACTAGAGAGCCCCGAAAACGCACAAAAGGTGCTCAACAAGGCACGAAAAGCAGTGCCCACATCTCATGAGATTTGGATTGCGGCTGCTCGACTGCAGGAGCAGCTTGGCCAGGGTACAAAGGTCAACGTCATGAAGCGTGCCATTGCAGTTCTAGTCAAGGAGTCCGCTATGCCCAAGCGCGAGGAGTGGATTGCCGAGGCAGAAAAGTGCGAGGAGGATGGCGCTGTTATTACTTGTGGAAACATTATCAGAGAAACACTGGGCTATGGTCTCGACGAAGACGACGACCGCAAGGACACCTGGACAGAGGACGCCCGAGGCAGCATCAACCGTGGCATGTACGAGACGGCACGCGCCATCTACTCTTATGCGCTGCGTGTTTTCGTCAACAGCAGGACATTATGGATGGCCGCCGCCGACCTGGAAAGAAATCACGGCACAAAGGAGTCGCTCGCTCAAGTCTTGGAGAAGGCTGTCGAGGCATGCCCCAAGAGCGAGGTGCTATGGATGATGTTGGCCAAAGAGAAGTGGCAAGCCGGTGAAGTCGACAACGCCAGATTGGTGCTCGCCAGGGCTTTCAAGTCCAACCCGGATAACGAAGACATTTGGCTTGCTGCCGTCAAGCTCGAAGCCGAGAACGGAGAGACTGAGCGCGCTCGTAAGCTGCTCGAGGAAGCCCGTGACCAGGCTCCTACAGATCGCGTGTGGATGAAGAGTGTGGTTTTCGAAAGAGTGCTGGGCAACAGCGATGCGGCACTGGATCTCGTCCAACGGGCGCTGCAATTCTTCCCGGCAACAGCGAAGTTGTGGATGCTCAAGGGACAAATCTACGAAGACCTTGGAAAGGTTGGCCAGGCACGCGAGGCCTACAGCACAGGTGTCAAGGCAGTGACCAAGTCTATTCCCTTGTGGCTGCTTTACTCTCGACTGGAAGAGAAGGCCGGACTTGTCGTCAAGGCTCGCAGTGTTCTCGACCGAGCCCGACTTGCGATCCCCAAATCGGCCGAGCTGTGGTGCGAATCTGTCCGCATCGAAAGGCGGGCAGGCAACCTCAACCAGGCCAAGTCTCTCATGGCCAAGGCACTTCAAGAGGTGCCCAAGAGCGGACTTTTGTGGAGTGAGCAGATCTGGCACTTGGAGCCACGGACTCAGCGCAAGCCGCGGTCGCTAGAGGCCATCAAGAAGGTGGACAACGACCCTATCCTGTTTGTAGCTGTGGCCCGAATCTTTTGGGGCGAACGCAAGCTTGAAAAGGCACAGAACTGGTTCGAAAAGGCGCTGGTGCTGGACAGCGACAATGGCGACACTTGGGCTTGGTATTACAAGTTCTTGCTCCAGCACGGCACAGACGTGAGTAGCCGCCTCTTTGGCCATGAATTTGACGCTTGGAAGCTAATTCGATCTCAGGAAAAACGAGCGGATGTCATTAACAAGTGTGTCTTGAACGAGCCTCGTCACGGCGAGCACTGGCAGGCGGTTGCTAAGCAGCCCACCAATGCGAGAAAGGGAACTGAGGAAATCTTGAAGTTGGTCGCTGATGTCTTGGAGAAATGAATTATGTAACAGCATGTGTACCAAATATCGAATTTGAGTCGGTCGGGAAGGATAGAGGAGAAAAGGTCATTTTCCAAACCACGCAGCAAGCAGAACATAATACCACGAGGAAGGCCCATGAACTTTCAAGGAATTGAACTTGAGTCAAAGAATTATGATTGATTCGTATTATAACTCCTAAACCAGTGCCCATTGTCATGATTGATCCATTACGTATAAGAGAGAAAAAAAGATTGCTAATCGTAGCACTTATTTGCCGCCGAACCAGCTGGAGATGCCGCTCTTGGCCTTCGCAGCTTCCTTCTCGACAGTCTTGTCAAAGGCATCGACCTTCTTCAGGGCCTCGGCCTTTGCGTCCTTGGCGTATGCCTCGACGTTGCTCTTGGTAGCAGAGAACTTCTTGTCGGCTCCAGCGACCTGGTGAGATGGTCAGTGACGATTGGTCATTGGAGATGGATTGGAGGCAGGCAGGGTAGAAGCGAACTTACGGCATCGTCGAACTTAGCACCAACTTGCGCGCCCTTGTTCTGGGCGTCGGGGGTGCGTCCGGGGAGATGAGACTTGACCTCGGCGGAGGCCTTGTGAACGTCACCTGGGGTAACGCGGGTCAGCATTTGAGAGACAGTACGATGGCGACGATGCGACAGGTAAAACATACTCTCAAACTTCTTCTCCGCGGCGGTAGGGTTTCCGCCAGCGCTGTAGAGGTAGTAGCCGACACCGCCGGCGGCAGTGAGACCGAGGAAAAGGGGAGCCTTCTTGGACATGGTGATTGATTCTGGGATGTAGTTGATCTGATTGACGTGTGACTTTGGAGCTACGATGGAGGGAAGCTTGAAGCTATTGTCGTGAACGTGTGATTTGATTGATTGAATTAGAGAGAGGAGAGAGAGAAGGTAACAATCGTCACGAGAGAAGAGCAGGATGGCTTGATCTATTAGTACCTTGCTACCGAATCACGGACGCCGCAGCTCTTGTCTCATTTCTTGCGCGGTTACACTCCTTCCCACACGCCTCCTGGGCACCAAATCACACCAGTGAGCTGCACTACCGACGTGCCGTCGACCTGGGGCAAGCATGGCGAGGAACATTTCGAGCTGAGAAAGCTCCGGTGGACGTGAAGGTGTGAGGGATACATGACGTAGAGCGGCATGAATGCGGGGAATGGGAAGTAGCTCCCCCCCAGCCACTCCTGGCCGAAGAGCTCCACTTGGGGCCGGGACCAAGAACTCAGCATGCACAGGCCATCACCATCACCTTCAGAGGGGACGGACACGGTACCTTGAGACTGCGCAAAATATCTGGGGAGGGTGAAGTAGTCGCGACGTACCTCTTCAGACCTGATCCTGGTAAGAGTGCAGCATCCACTGGATCTCCAGCGTCACCTCAACTTGTCAAAGCTCCGAAAATCAGCTGTCACTTTCGATGGGCTCCGTAATGTTTACTCTATTCATCCAGGTCTCCTTACAACTTCTAACGAGTGCGGATGGTCATCTCGACCCATGGTCTTGCTTGCCGACGAGACCGTTACCTGTGGCTTCACAGTGCTGCTCCATGTGCTTCAGAGCCAGGTCTGCATGGTTAGGTAGCATGAAAACACCTGTTTGAGCTGACTCTCTGGCACACAAAACTGGTGACTAGGGGGGCTCGACGCTCGCCGGGAAAGCTGGGACATTACATCATCGCCGGAGCTGAGTACGCGACACCTCTCAGGCTCATAGGCTTCCTGGACTGGCTGGCCCGTGAAGCGCATGAGCCAACCCGTGTTGAGCTTTTGGGTCTAGGCCTCCAAGTCCAGCCAACGCCAACGCCAATACCTACCTCCCTCCTGCTTTTTTTTCTTCATTATTGCTGCATCGTGCTAGCCTTGTTCAGCGTCCTCCATTTGGCCACTGCCAGCCGATGGTGGTCTAGCCCACGCTAGGTCCGAAGAAGAGGTCCCAATTGACTTCCCTGAATTCCTCGCTCGTCGGACCATTGACCTCGTAGCCTCAAATCGGCCTTCTCCTTCTACGGCCTCTTTTTTCATTCCCACCTTTCGACGGGGCGCGCTTGGAAATATCATTTGTCTGAGTAGATTCGGTACAATGTCCAGGTAGCCCAGACTACGCTTCTGTATTCCACCATTCCAAGGCGGGAGCCGCCAACCATCCCCGAGAAGGAAGCTAGAGCACCTCCGGCCCGGGATTTCGATTCTTCACCCCACCAACGTCGAAACCCCTTTTACCTCCAAGGGTGCTGTTCCGGTCTCACTCCGGCGCTGAGCCTCAGGGCGGCTTCAACAAGGAGATTTTCTGTGACCGGGCGCGCGAAGCTGCGATACAGCGTTAGAGCGATGCCTTCCTTTCGAAGCTCTCGTCGGGTCACTGGCTTGAAAGATAGTGACTATGACCACGAAATCAGCCTAGTCAACCATGATAACCGCGGTTCACCGAGCACCGATAGCCTTAGCAGACCTCCCCGTGCGTCGACCGGTTCGCAATTGCTCCGTGATGAGGATACTACTGAGGGCCACGATGCGGAACCAGATGCAGACCGCAGTACGGAAGACAACGCCGACCAAGATGCCAGTACGTCTGGACGCTCAGTGGAGCCAGAACAAAGTCAACAATCGAAAGCCACCAAGCACCAGAGTGCTCCCACTCTCGAACCTCAAACGACAACGGCCACCACAGCACCGTCTATCGAGGTCGAAGGTAAGAGACATCCATTTCCAGTCCATGGTGCAGGTTCTGATAATACATACCAAAATAGAACCGACGCCGCTGGAAGGCACAATGCCCGGCAGAAGCAGTAGTCAACAACGGAGACCAACCACTGCGGAACGAGAAACAGCCATTGACGTGCTATGGGAGAACGAGCGAGGCTGTTTTGTTTGCCGCGTTGCCCTATTCTCCGGCAAGGCTTTGGGCAACCTCGACCCCTCGCCTTGGACGAACCAATTTCACAAGACGAGTCCCACCACGACCAAGACAGCACAAGTACCCGATCCGTCCTGGGAGTGGGCATGGCCTGAGTGGAAGATACATCGCGAACAAGGTGTAGCCATGGACGAGTTCGGTTGGGAGTACTCGTTCATGTTTTCCAAAAGATACTCCTGGCATGGTCCGAAATGGTGGAATTCCTTCGTCCGGAGGAGATGCTGGGTTCGCAAGCGCATCAAGAAGAAACCGGAAGACATATCGGAGGACCCGCACATGCTGAACTCCGACTACTTCACTGTTACGCCTGCCAATCACAGCCGTTCCTCTAGTGTGGCGCGCAGCCGTAGAGAAAGCGTTAGTAAGGCGAGTGAACAGACCAGTGTCGCGGAGGAGAAGCAGGATATTGAAGACGTTTGGACGCTTATGGCCGTCCTCAGAGGCTCCCGCATCGATCGCGAAAAGATTGAGGCTTTCGAGAATTATCTCGCACACGCCAAAGACAACCTCGAGCACTTGCAGGAGGAGATGCATGATGTTATGGGCATTTTTGTGTTCCAGGCCTCGAGAAGAATGCTACTGAGTCGTTTGACCCAGATTTATGATGAAGCGGTCGCTGCAGACGAGGAGAAACATGAAGATGCAGACAAGGCAAAAGAAAGAGAAGAGAGAAGGAAACACCTTGCAGCGGCGATCAAGCATGCAGACGAAGAAGTCAAAAGGCTCTCGTATTGGAGCGATGTCAAGGGGCTTGCAGAGAATGGCGAAGCCAAACACGCTGTTGCAGAAGACGAAGGATGGAATAAGGGGTGGGAGGGCGTTGATCAGAGCGGTCCTGCGCAACCCAACTCGGGTGCTTTGCCTGGTCCACCAAAGAAGTAATAGGGACGGGGTGTTAATTATTCTTTTCTTGTATACCCGACTTCATATATACAAATTTACTAGTCATTGCCTGCGGTACGTTGCTGTGAGATGAAGCCTTCGTGGTGAGCAAGGTCGTTGAATGAACAGTGCAAAATGGTAATGTCACTTGTCGCTCACACTGTCGTCGGCCGGCAGGGGTCGGGTCAAATTTCTGGGGCCGAAAGACCGGGATCAATCGGCGCGAAGTGGAAATTCTTCTGTGGATAGCTTGCCCGCGTCTTCAACGAGACGGACGACATCTGTTCCATCACTCCAAATGCAACAAATCTCAAGCCCAGCACACAATATGGGCCATTCATAGCAAATGTCCCTGGGAATCACGCTATCATTGAGAGCCCGATCTCACCGCATCGGCTCCTCTGGGATCTCTCCGATTTCCAGGGCTCCTCAAAGATGGTCTCGGGCACATCGGGCTCAACTACCACTTCCTCGTCAATGGGTGCACACAGCTGCCGATGCAGTCAGGCCCAACGAGGTTGAGACTTCCCCGACACAATCTCGAATCGAAGATCAAGGAACGAACCATGTCGCCACCTCAGCCAGCGATGCCGCCCTGAGCCCTACCTTGGAAGGCCAGACTACGAAAGACGAAGAGATCGAGACACCATCGAGAGTTGGAAATTTAACGCCGGGGGATGGTCCGGACACAAGGCCGAAAAGATCACGAAAACCTACGCCGTTTTATCCACTTGATCCCGTCAGCGAGCGTCGAAAACCTATTGAAACAGTGTCTTTACTCAAAGATGCCAGCGAACGCAAGCTGAAACGACGGGAAAAGACGAGCCCTACCCAAGCGCAGCATGACTCTATACTCGTTACACCGACGATACGTTACCAGCCGCAACGGGAATCTCGAGCCAGTAGCCAGCGATTCCACCAAAGCATAACCAGGCAAATTTGGCTCGAGACCGTCCGACAGGTCAAAAAGGGGTCGTTCAGCAACTGGCGCAATACGTTGGACCTCCTTCGACGACAGACCCGGCCTATTAAAGGGCCCTGGCAGCGCAATGTGCGTAAGATCACAGTCGGGGTTGAACTCGCATATACGCTCCTCCACGATGTCGACAAAACTATTTGGGACATACAGGAGCAAACGAGATGTCATATCGAGATGCGATGGCCAAAGGATAAAGACGGGACACTCAGTGAAGTGGGATACCTTTTTCTCTCGGGCGACGAAGACGCTTTGGAACACGCAAGCGGAGAGATTTCTAGACTTGCCGCTCAAGCCGACAGCACGATCAGTATCGAAGGAGCCATCGGCAGCAACTTCTCTACAACGGGCCGTGACGAGGTGGCTGAAGCAAGAAACGAAACTGTATGGAAAAGTTCCGAGGAAGACCAGCGTCCGGCGTATATGAAGGAGTACTCACACGCCCACAAATACGAAAGTATCCCGAAACCGAAAGAATGGACGCCTGATACATTCTTGGCCTACATAACCGCCATCACAAACGCGAGGATCACTGCGCATGACAAGTATAAGATGTACGGCGCGGGCCCCGCTGCAGACGACGCGGCCCTCAAGCTACTTTTCAGCGCATTCACGGATGAGTCTTCGAGACATGCGCGGTCGAGGCGCGCTTTCAAACAGGCATTGCGTTTTATTGAGCTACGTGGCAATTCCTATAGGAATCATGCCCGGGACCTCTTCCAGAGCCAGCGAGATGCACCATTTTCGATTGATACCGGCGTTTTCAACATCATGCTGGAAAACTGTGCCAAGGTGAAGGATCTCAGCAACTTTCACAGCTTGTTAGGGATGATGATTAGCTATGGTTGCCAGCCAAACGCCAAAACATGGGCGTTGTATATGGACATGATTGAGAGCAAACAAATCCTCCAGCATGTTCTTCGACTGATGCACTCGCTTGGCCTCCTTTTGGATCCCGGCGTCGTGCCACTCATCACGAAGCGACTCGTCACGGACGACATGCGCAAGTTGGAACACAACTGGCCCGGTATCCGCTCGTTCCTCGAGACCCTGACCGCCAAGTACGGTACGGCCTGGTCTTCGAGGCCAGTCATGCACGTAATCATGAACGAACTCGGACGTATGGGCAACTTTGCCTCATGCTGCGACCTCTGGGACATCATGGCCGAGTCCCGGAATACCTTCCCCACCACGCTCACGCTCAACACGATGCTTCAACATGCGAAAGCCCAGCGCAATATAACATTCGCCACGGCCGCGTTGGAGAAGGCTCACAAGCACTTCATCTTGTTGAACGAGCAATCATACCACATACTCTTCTTCCTGGCCTTCAGGCTTAATAGGCCCAACGCCATGGGCGTCATCTGGCGGTATGCCTGTATAGCGGGCCGAACCAGCTCGGACATGCGCAATCACATCAGCAACTGGCGGTACGGCGTCAACCCGCAAGACGTTCTGCAGCACGCCATCGAGCCGAATCCCAAGGCTCACGCATCACCCTGCGCTCTGCCGTCCTGGTTCGACCAGAACGTGACGGGGCCGAACCAAGTCAACGGCGCCCGGATCAGCAAGGCCACGCACGATTACTTCCGGGAACACAAAATGCGACCCTGGTACCCGCTCCATCAACTTCTCTCGTGGGCTTGGGGAGCCGACGGGAAAATCATTGCGGCGGTCAAGGAGGCCAAGCAGCAGAGCCTGCGGCATTCCCCCCCTACACCATTGCGCACCGTCACTACGCCTGGAGTCACGGTCATGTATCACCGGAACGGCAAGGGCCTACGGACGTATCAGTGGCAACTGAAAATTCAGCATATTGCAGCCACGAGTGATGTGCCACCGTCGTCCGTCAATGAAACCAAGACCACGATAGTACCGACGGATGGGATCACTATACCGGCAACAGAAGACGTGGAAGACGACGGACGGGGTGTCTAACTGATTTGAGGAAACCTCGACATCACGTCGCCGCAAGAAGTGGCTGTAGAAAGGTTTCCCGCCCCACGACGGGGATCAGAACCAGAGTCACGGTATAGAGAAAAAGCCAATCCGCACAACTATTTATATGAGGAATAACCCTGTACAACAAATCAAATCCCCGTCTCGTAAGATAGCTAGGAGGCAAATCGGGGCTGGGCGTGGAAAATACCCATACAATTCTGTACAAAAAAACATTTAATCACATAATTGCATTCCCAAGATGAACTTGTTTCCTCATTACGGCCTGGCGAACATAATATCGGCATATCACATTCTTGATCCCACACGTTTGCCCGTGGGTGCCCGGGCATGAAAGTGATTTGTTTTTGATCTACAATACACGTAGGCAGCCCGAGCAACAGACACGTCAGATCCCTGGACCCTGGTGACAGAAAAGACCCCTCTTCTGGAAAAAGGCGGTTGAAGAAAGTAGCAAGTTCAAAAAGAGTTGGTTGGGTTATGCAAATGATCATAAGTAAGCGTGACAACTAGGTAAGCCCGCAAAGAGGGCTACTAGCTACAGCACGCACAGATTGAGTCTTTGGACTCTCTCAACATGCGGCCAGCCCTCTCCTCTCTCCCCTTGAGCCGCCGCAACTGCTGTTCGTGCCCCCCCCTCTGCCTGATCACAACCCTGTCAACGGCCTCCGGGACACCCAACATGATGAGGAAAACAACACGAGAAACATTCAGTCATCCATTCCAGCCAAGCCATTTAAAAGTCTCTCAAGCCTTCCTAAAACTCATACGGATCCGTTGAGTCCGGTCTCTCTTCCAGGCCCAAGTGCACGCCTATATCATTCATCAAGGTATAGAAAGTCGACATCGCCAGCCGCTAAGAGCTCACTTCTCCGTGCTCTCAATCTTCTGCGACTCCGTAGACGCGGGGACTGCGGCCGGCTTTGACTCCTCTGCGGTCTTGTCAGCCGCCTTAGTCTCCTCCGTCTTCGGGGCTGACTTGTCCTCAGTCACGCTATCCTTGCTGGTTGCCGAGGAGGCCTTGGAAACCTGGCTCTCGAGGTCCTTGTCCTCCTCAGCGTTGTCAAACATCTCCGTGTCGTCAGAGTCGGTCAGAACCTCAGTGCCATCGCCAAGGAAGATGATGCGGCCCTTGTAACCACCAATGCCGAAGGGCTTGCCCTTGTTCTCCACATCCACGTCGTAGCCGCTGTCACTGTCGTCGAAGTTGTGGTGAACTCCGGGACCGCGGAATTCAGCTAGTTGCAGGTGATGGATCAGCGCTCCTCCTTTGGAAAGAAATTATGGGACACAAAAACAAACGATGGCTACAAAAAGGGGGATAATGGTTGTATTATGGGGATAGAGAGACTCGTCTCATGACAGTGCAGATGGAGGTCGGCGCGCCGCTCAACTCCTTAGGAAGATGTGGATTCGGACGTGGATTCAGTCGTACCGTATTCGGGAGGGGCGCAAGGTCCGTCTCCAGCAGCAACCCGCTTGGCAATCTCCTCGTACCACTCCTCCTTGGTCTTGCCGCGCAGAAGACCAATGATGCACATGGTCATGTTGTCGCAGCCAACACCTCCGGTCTCCGAGTTGGAGGCCAAGCAGTTGTCCATCATGTTCTCGCAGATCTTCTCCAGCTCCTGCTTAGCCGCAATGCCACGACGGACGAACTCGACAACAGCCTGGGAAGACTGGCAGTCCCAGATACCTAAGAATCTTGTCAGCCTGTGATCCCTTGCCCATACCAAGTATTTCCTGCTTACCGTCGCAAGCGATGACCAAGAACTCATCGTCGTCGCTGATCTCGTGGGTCTCGACGTCAGGGAAGGCGGTGACGATCTGGGCCTCGGGCGAGAGCTCTGCGCTCTTCTTGAACTCGAAGTCACCAATGGCGCGGGAGAGAGCAAGATTGCCGTTAACACGGCCAAAGTCGACAAAGCCACCGGCGGCTGTGATACGGGACTTCTCGGCTATAGGGGGGAAAATCAAGTCAGCTCAGGGTACTGATGCCTTTGCCATGGGCAAGTACTCACCCTCGAGCTGGGGCTTGTGGTCCTGGGACAGGGGCTTAGCCCGTCCCTTGATACCAAGAACGCTTCTCGAGTCGCCAGCGTTTGCCTAGTCGCGGAACGGTCGGTAAGTAATGCGAATACATCGCGCAAAAGCGGACGTAAGCAAACTCACAACGTAGATCTTGTTGTCCGAGATCAGGCCAACGCAGGCAGTGCAGCCAGAAACCTCCTCTTCGTACTTGGGATCTGGTTAACCCAAGATTAGCTCATGTATCCAGTATAGGGGACAATAAGTGGTATAGGCCAAGGCCGCAGTACGGCTCAGCCTCCAAGGAACTGCCGGATCCGAGGTCGTGAATTTACCGTTAAGAATCGCCCGATCGGTTGCCAAAAAGCCATCCTTCAACGCCTGTTCGTAGTTGCCCTTCTTGAAGGTCTCCTGCTTCTTGATAATCTCGTGAATGTTCTCTCCAGCGAATAAGGCTACTTTGTCACCGCCATGTCCATCAAAGACTCCAAAGAAGGAGAGTTTTGACTCGTGTTTCTTGGCTTCGTCGCTGCCGGAGGTGAGAAGGTCGAGGATGGTGATGTGAGCATCCTCCATGCTTATGCGCCAGCCCTGCATGGCAGAGACGCCGTAGAGGAGGCGCTCATCTTCGCCCTTGGCCGAGGACTATGATCGTGGAGAATGGGGTCAGTGAGTTGAATCAAAGTAAGGTTGAGTTGTAGGGATACGTCATCAGTTGGACATTGCTGCAAAAAAAGATCCAAGCCACCTCGCTATATCGCCTGCCCGCGCGATATCACGGGCAAGAACGACCGAGGCAAGCGGGGGTTCGGAGGTGACCCCGGGGCTGGCTGCGAATATCGAGCAAGAGGCCGCGAAGGAAGCAGAATGGGTATGAGGGCGTGGCGATGGGCAAAGCAAGGCAAGGCAGCGCGTCAAGAGAGGTGAGGGTAGTGGTAGATCATGACATACCTTCTCGACAACGGGCTCGGAGAGAGTTTGACCCATGGTGACGGATGCAATGAGTCGGCAGCGCAGCTACCGGGTTTGACTGGATGTTGGGTCGGTCAAATCGTGGTCGGAAGCGCAAGTCGGTATCGTAAGGTTGCTGGAGAGGAGAAATTTTTTCAGAGCCAGTCGTGCGTGCGCAAGAAGGCTGAGAGGGAAAAAAAGAGGCGAGGTGACGGGAAGGTGGTGCGGTAGCAAAAGGTTCTAGATCGCGCACACTCGAGAGGAAGCGGGGTATCCGAATCGCAAGGGAATTGGGCAGGGGACAGGCGTCGATCCCTGAGAGGTGTTGGGTCTGCTATCACAGGTAATAGAGGCTCGAGTTCGGGGTGCGGTAATGCGAGGAAATTGGCCGCGCCAAAATTGTGAGGTTGCGCAAGAGAAGAGAGGGAGGTAGAAGGAGGGAAAAAATGACCCGAACTCAATTGTAGCTGGGTGTGGGTGAGGTTGTGAGTAGGAAGAGTTTTCTGGATGGGTGGTGAAGGCAGAGCAGGTCGCGTGTTGTGGTGACGGGAGTAGGTAGGTGGTGAGCTGGTGTGTTGTAAGGCAGTGAGAGTGCGCCGTGCGGTAGCAGTAGCCCGGGGGCGAGCAAAGTTGTGCGATACGGAAGGCGCAAGCAACAACGCGGGACAGGACAGGGCAGGATACCTTAGGACAAGCCAGCCGCGGACAACAAGCTGGGGCAAGCACCTTAGTTGCTTGGATTGCTGGCCTTGACTTGCTCTACGGATACCAAAAAGGACAGAGCAAAGGTGACTCCAACGCTGCCGCGGGGAGGGGGTACGTACTACCAACCACAACCACCACAATGGGACTACCTACCTTACTTCCCTACGGAGTACTAACCTACCTTTCAGCAACTAAGGTCAAGGCACGGCCAGTCGAGCGTATTCGTCCAAAGGCCAGTTGGCAACGGCATTGTGAGGCGCACTTGGGTACGGGAAGAGAGGCCACGCCACGGATACCTACCTAGGCACTCTACTTCTCTGGCAGTGCTACGTCTGGGTATGAGTCTGGGTCTCCTCGCGGCATCCACTGCCTTGCACCAACAACAATCAAATGTGTACGAGGGGGGTCTGTCACATTACCAACGTCTCCTCAGCTCAGTCACCTCCTTCTCGCCAACAGGGTATATGGGTATCTATCAGCCTTGCCTAAGGTAAGGTACCTCAAGTCACCTTGAACAGTTGTAAGAAAGACCATGTTCGCAAGGAAATGTTTCACCGAGTGAACAAACTTGACCCGAGGTTCTAGCGAGCCTTACAACAACGATTTGACAAGGCAAACTGTGTAGGTAGCCAATCCCATAGACCAACACAACAGACGTCCGGCCGGAGCGGGATTTGCTTGCGCCTCTCATTCTCACTTGCATATTCATTCGCCCCAGCACTGCAGGACTGGCAACGGCTGGCCCAGCCAGTGCCCCCCAAAGGAGGCACATTAAACCCTCGTGGAGGCGGCAAGTACAAAATTCGTCGTCATTGCCGCCTTTAGGTAGAGAACAGCAAGGTTGCGTGGCTACGGATCCAATATGGAACGACCTGCTGAAAAGAGACGAGTTTACCTGCAGTTGCGTCATATCCGACGTCGTGAGCTTACCACAAACAACCTACCGTATCATGCTACCTAGGTGGGCAAAATTTTACACAGAAGCTAATGGAAGGTAGGCATTTGGATTGGGCCCAAGGTGCTATTGGACTCTCACTGCCGACATCCATAGAGTTGACTGGCTACAGGAGCGTGGAGTGAAAAGCTTGGAAATCGCTGTTGAAGCTCTCGGTGAACGCATAGCATTGAATCACAACCAAAAAAAAAAAAAAAGCATCGAGAAACACACAGACTTCCATCATCGCGTTTAGTCAAGGCCAACCAACCTACCTACCTACCCACCTGCCATATCTACGGATACTGCACGGTTCTCATGCAAGGGCCCCCTCCCCGCCCCTCTCTCTACCGCCAAAACAAGAGAATCCCATCTTCTCCCCCCCCAAAGCCCCCCCTCCCCTCTTCGCCCTTCTCTTTTTCCCCCAGTTCCCTTTCTTGGCCCAAGCGAAGCTAGGACCTCATGAATGGACGGGAAATGAGGTCCAAGCTCTTGCTTGCGACCTCGGGGAATCCGATCTAAGAGACTAGTACATATTAACCCCAGAGGCCGCTTTTCCCTAAAATACCGACCTATCCAATTATGCCAATCCCAATGTTGGGGCACAGAGCGCAGGCAGGGAACAGCGAGGGATATCGTCTCCACTTCGATCGGCTTAGCTAAGCGGCCCATTTACTGGGCATCTGCCATTCGGTGCCGTGGGCGCGATGCGAGAGCCAACCCCCCACAACTTACAAGCCTTTTCCAGAAGCACAGACGGTCGGTATTTTGTTAAACAAAGACACAAAAAAAGGGGTCCGCCCTCTTAGATAATAAACTTTTGTGGCATCGCCAATTCAACATTACGGTCTGGGTTTCCTTGTACAAGCGGGGAAGAACAAGAGTACAAAAACCGCTTTCTCTCTTCATTAATAATTTGCCTTGTATATATATCCTTCGACGAGCACGTTAGTTATAAACGATGATACGGAACAAACACGAGGAATTTTATCTTTTGAATGGGGGAGCCTCAAGGATAGAGAGGAGTTACGACCTTCTTGGAGAGGCGAGGCCCGATAGCAAAGCCTATCCCCCCCCCCAACCATGTTCGGGTGTGGGTGGTGGTCGTAATCTCTCCTCTACATCCATACAAAAATATTACTAGATCCTCATATCCATAATCCCTATTATCGTTCAGGTACTTGTACTAAATGGACTAAACCAAGTAAGGAATAAAACACTTGAGCAAGCGACTCTGCTCGGGGCGGGTATAACAAAATCGCAAAGACGCTTCTGAACGAGAGACAAATTATATCGCTGGGTGACGAGGGGGGCCATCCCCATCCAACCTCGTCCCCTCTTCTCACATGAACACGCGGAAATCCTCACTGCTGCTGTCCCGCCGACTCCGAAGGCCCTTGTTCCCCGCTGTTCCGGCTTCCGCTTCCGTCACCCACCCAGACCCCTCCGACTCGGGTCCCGACGGGTATCGCGCCAACCCTTTCCCCTTGCCCAACACTTCGCTGCTTGCCCTTGACGATGCGTACCCAGGCCGGTTTCCCGAAGCACGTCGTTGCATGAAGGAGTCTCTGTTCCAGCGTCCTGCTATGATGTTGGAGCTGGATGACGATTGCCGTGACAGAGGAGTTTGTTTGCTTACCCGGCTGTCCCTGTTCAACGGCCCGCTCGAGTCTTTCTTGATGATGCTGAGGGGCCGGGGAGACAGCGATGGCGTGTGTCTCATAAAGGGAGAGCTTCGTGTCAACTCGTAGGCGATACCGAGCGAGTCTCTTGGTGGTGGTATCGTCCGCCAGTTCTCTGTCCCCCTGGCCGACTCGAGGGAAGCAGAGTCATCGCTGTCCAGAATGTACCTGTTGCGCGAGGGGACGACCGACCGGCCGCCAAAGAAGGGACTCGAGTCTGACTTCCTGCTGATCGGCCGTGAAACTGAACCATGACGCGATTCCGGTCTTGTATCCTGCCGAATGAACCTGCCCCTTCCAGACCCCGATCTAGAGCTGCGGAGACTGCTTTGCGATCCCAGGTCGCTCATGATAGGGAACGCCTTCCGCGGTCGTTGCGACGGCGAGAACCTATTCCCGTTCGTGGGATTCGATCCTAACGGTGTTGGCTGTTCCGGGATCGAGGCCAGACTATCAGAGCCAGAAGCGCCCGGTAGTAGCTGTGACCTGTCGAGGGTCAATCTGGAAGGCTCTCCCCATGGACTCGTGTAAGCCAGGTCAGGTGTTGCTTGGATGCTGCTCGTTTCCGGATTTATAGACGGGATGGTGACGTCCAGCACACTTCGGAAAGAATCATCTCGTTGACCCTGGAGAAAGCCAGAAGACCCAGAAAGTACGTCACTCGGGCCGTCGTAGGTGCTTGTCGATCCCTGGTGCGTGTGTTGGGGGTGGAAAAAGACGCCCTCTGTAAGCCAAGACGAGGTAACGGAGGGGGATCTCGGCGTTGGGCTTCTTTCGGATCCCCTCCAGAGATATGATGAGCGATTGTTCGTGTTGGACTGCGACATACGAGAGCCGGTGATAGTCGAAAGCGTCCTCGATTGTCTCATTTTCTGTACAGCAGAGTTGAAGTAACCCCTGCTGCGTCGATTGTCTTCGGGCTTCTTCATATCTCCGACCGACGATCCGTCTCTGCTGTGGGCCCCTCCATTCATCACAAACGAGCCAGGGACTGGCTCCGATATGCTGTTTTTGAAGTTCTCGTGAATCGATTCTCGTTTTTGCTTCCTTCTCCGGCAACATATGATCAACAGAACAACAATCGCGAGGAAGAGTAGCGGTAAGAGAATCGCCAGGGCTATATAACCAGCTTTTAGGCCTTGTTGCGGATCGCTTGTAGGTGCGGGATTCGTTGGCTTCGTAGAGGATGTGGGAGAATCCGTGGTAGTAGTGGCCGGCAGAGGCAAGACTTCCAAATCTGCCGTCGCCGTCTCGGTCTCCTCTGAGCTTTTTGACGTCGCCTTGACAATGAATTTAATGTTCTCGGGCGATGTAGTTTTGGGGGGCATTCCCGATATGACCAAGCCGTCAACGCTGACCCAGTCTGCCGAGGATTCGACACTAAGATCAATATCTGAAGGCGTCCAGAGATAAGGTTCCACATCGAACGTAAAGTTCTTTCCCGGCGTCGCCTCGATGCTCAAGTTCGTGTCCCGGAAGATTCGCGTAACAATGAACACCGATAAAATAATGTTAAGAGTATCGGAGTATACGTCCCGAATAGTGAGCGTAGAGTTTGAGGATTTCGCATCCTCAGGGGGGTTGCCCTGGATCTCGAATGTACTATTATCGACCGAGAGCCAGCTCGGAAGGCCTGACGTGGTGAGGTTCAACTCGGATGGCGTAGTGGTATTCCCATCCAGCTTTATACTGCCGGCGAGTGCCGCGTACGAGACATTTGTCCCCCGCGTTGCATTGATCTCGATAGTGGGCGTGTCTGTTGTCAACCTGTGGGCACCGACAACGATAGAAAAGACAACGGAAACAGCCGAGAATCCGATGATATCGGAACCAACGAGGCTGAAGTCGAATTTCTGGGGCGGCTGGACGAGTGATTCGAATGGTGGTGTCTTCCCGGTGAATGTAAGGCTGCCGGCGTCCAACTTGATCCATGAAGGCAGAGGGCTGCTATCTGCTGAAGTGGCATAGTAATTTAATCCGTCTCCAGCATAAGAGAATGTATCCTTGGCGAATGTGAAGGAGAAGTCGGACGCGGGAGATGCCACGACGGCAGACGGCGATGATGTATCGCCAAAGTTCTGAATTTGCTCCGATAGAGGAATGTTGAGCTTGGGTGTAGGTCTCCTCGTCACCACCAGAGTCGCCGTCATCGTGGCAGACCCAGAATTGTCCGTTGCAACGATGTCCACCGGGATGCCCACCACTTCCCCTGCCGGAACATCTTTATCCTCGGGGGTCCCAGAGAGCCGGCCGGTGCTGGCATCGATCGAGAGCCATGCTGGCGAGTGTAGTAGGCTGTAAGATAGTCGAGACTGTGAAGAAAAGGTTTGAGGTGAAAGAGTGTACGAAAATGGCTCCGATATCCTCGTCGCAGGCGGTAGCTGAGAGTTGAATGGGAAGTAAACGACTGGTACGGCTCCTGCAAGCGCAGCTAGACTCAGGAACACATACATCACGTACATTGCCATGACTGATGCGTTGTACGAAAGGAGCGGCATCTGCGAGCCAGAGGAGCGGAAAACAAAAACAAATTCAATCAGAGAAGAGCATGTCAAACAGAAGGTTATCTCATCAGAAACGAGAGAAGCTTAGGACGATAACTTTGCCCATAGGGGATATCCTCGGCGCGAATCTCGTGGTCCATGGCTCTCGTTTTCTGGTGCTACGTGTCTCCCTTCGTGCCAGTGCTCACGCCCTGAGAAGAGATTCGCGGGTGGGCGCGTCCTCCTCAAACTGCCGCCCTTCCATGTGGTCGGTCAACGGAGGGTACTACTTCACTCGAAGAAGCAATCGTTTCAGCGTGGCAAAGGTTCACTTGCCATACTGGGAGTGTCAGAAGGCGACTAATCGAGTTCTGCATTCCAGCGGCGGGTTTGAAGCGCTTCAAGGGTGTTGAGGACAGGTTAGGCCCTGAGGCATAGAGGGAGGCGGGATGAGACATGTCCACTCGGAACGTGTGCTTTGACGAGGTCCGGAATGCAATAGCTTTGTTCTGCGGATTAGTTCGAGGATTGATTAAACAGTCCATTGGTTTACATTGGACAGCATACTCGTCAAGCTTATTCGGTCTGATGCTTGGCAGGAGGGCAAGATGGTGTAATCGAGTGTACATGGGATGGACAGATAGGACAGTCCAGTGGAAGTGTTGTTCCCGGAGTATTAGGTAAGCGCTATACCGCAACATCGGGAGTGCGACGAAGGCTTCTTCCGATTTCCACCCACTCAAGCCACGCCTCAGTGAGGCTTAAATCGGCCATCGTTGGGAAACAGATTGGAAAGAGCGGAGAGTGTATCCGCAGGACCCTGAACAGGGTTGAAGCGGAAAGCGCGCAGAGAAGAAGGGGCAACCCCGCTTGAGGCAAAACGCACCTCCCCTTATCGGAAAGTCTAGATTGTCGTCGGCCTCAGCAAAACGGATTTTGAAATAAAATAAAAATAAAATCCCATACAAAAAAAAGGCCAGCGATACCGCTCTTCCGTGCCTGCCATTTTTACCTCTAGCCTCCTACCTTACCTTAGATCTGCACCGTTTCCGACAATCACTGCCTGCCTAGAAAGAAAGAGCATCATCGCGTAGCCGCTTGTGTCACCGTGTCGTCAATAAGCTCAACTTACCTCACCTTACCTTACCTTACCTTACCTACTTTAAGTTGTTTTCGTGCGCTCCCTGGGCTACTCTTCACACACAATAGCATTATGCGGATTCTCAACACCCCCCTCATACCAGAGAAGATGGAGTCACTCGACCGCTCTCCCTCACCTGACTTCTCGCCCTTGGCCATCGGCGAAGACTTCACACCGCTCCCCACCTACAAGGCCGCAACTACGTCAGCCTATGACATGTCCGGCCTGCTGTCAACTCCCCTTCAACTACACGAAGATCTCGCCTCGGGATGCGGCGGTCAAACTTGGCCTGCAGGCATGGTGCTTACAAAACACATGCTACGCTACCACCGGGAGAACCTCAAGGGCGCGAGAATGTTAGTCATGAAGCCACCTTCCATTGCGTACTGTCATGTCTGCGTCTCCTCGCGACCTCGTGGTCTACCATGTTCTACCACTGGCCCATACCACACACCACGATATTGGATCGTAGTCCATGCGCCGCCCTCGCAGGAGGAGAAATCGGGGGTGTTTTTTTTTTTTGGACTGAGCTGACTCGGGCTTTTCGGAGCAAATAGACTTGAGCTTGGCGCAGGCGGCGGACTCGTCGGACTGGCTGTGGCTTTAGGTTGTGGATTGCAGGAAAAGCTGTACCTCACAGACCAAGACGAGATGTTCGAGCTGATGGGACGGAACACCAAGTTGAATGGCCTCGAAGACAAAGTCAAGCCCATGATCCTGAACTGGTGAGTAATTTACCCCCAGGTTGCTCGATGCCAGCCGTGCGCATCCTTCCCAGAGGTCCCTTCCGGGGAACTTGGACGTAACGGGTGCCAAGGTGACTGTGTGCACGGTAGTCCATGGAACTTCGAGACCCTCAAGAACTTTCGAATGGAATCTCAACTTGTGTGATCCGCATCTGAGGGTGTTCTTCTGCAGAGGTCTTGAATGGACTCGGGCTGCCGTTCGGCTGATGTACGAATGACTGATCAATAGTACAGGGGCGGGCCGCTGTCCCAAGAGGTTGTCGATTTCAAGCCCAATGTCATTCTGGCAGCTGATTGCGTCTATTTCGAGCCGGCCTTCCCACTGTTGCTGGAGACTCTGACGAACCTGTTAGCCTTGGAACCTGACGCTGTTATTTACTTCTGCTTCAAGAAGAGAAGACGCGCGGATATGCAATTTCTGAAGAAGGCCCAAAAGGCGTTCCTGGTGACGGAGATTGTCGACCAAGATCGCCCTGTCTTCAGCAGAGAGGGTCTGTTCCTCTACACTTTTGCAAGCAAGAAGTCGACGTCAAACGGGACCCGAAAGTGATGAGATTTGACGTGATCTTTGAATGGCAAACCATTTTCTGGAGCGATAGACAGCATCGAGCCTCGGTCGCGAGACAACAGAGGTTCTCAAGTATGAGAGCTCCTCGTCGGTTGAAGAGACTCTGCTTCTGTTGGACGATGGCATGTCTGCCGAAGCCCTCAGGCCATGGGTCAACAATCGAGAGAATGAAGTATTCCGTAGCAAGCAAAGCTCAAGGTGGCTGTCGGAAATGATACAGCCGTGTTGGAGTCAGTCATTCTGGTATCCAAGTGGTTCAACCAGCAGCACAATGACAGACCGCAAAAGAGCCAGGCAATGGCCAACCCAGCACGTGGTTCTCTGATAGCATTCCGTACCCCGGCAAGCAAATACAAGCTTGCGGCATTTCGAGCGGGTGACTTTGAGTGACGGCGACTGTGTCCCGGAACTTACGTCAACATCAACTACGGGTAGCAGGGAGTTCCATCCGTGTCGTCAGCGAGATGGGGAGCATCAATTTCAATAGAAAGCAATTCATCAATGCACCATTGATAGTTCACGCGCCATGTTGATCGACAGGAACGGTGGAGACGATGGAGCGGGAGACAAAAAACAACCCGGACTGCGAGATTCAACTGCTTGGTCTAGGCCATCACTCTGCACCATTATTACTCTACATGTCCGGGAGCATCAAGGATGGTGAGATACAAGTTACAACAGCTGCTGTGCCCGATGGCAGGTTCTCTCGTCAAGTATCGCGAGGTCAGTTTCCAACTCGCCGGCAGCGACAACGAAGGTGTGAGGGGTTTTCTTCCCACGTTGCCCTTCAGCTGCAAAGCTGCTGCATGCCCTTAGAGTGCTCATCCAGTGAGATGTCAGAACGGAAAATCTCTGCAGATTTGGCGCTCGTGGAACGTGGTCCGACGTGTTAGAATATCCACCGACTACTGCAGGTTGGTTGGCAAGGCCGGAAGCGGCAGAATGGGCCCCAAGAGAAGAGGCATGTCGTGTCAGAGAGGGGAGAGAGAGAGAGAGAGAGAGAGAGAGAGAGAGAGAGAGAGGAAAGGGAACCAACAAACACTGGTCCAGGGCCGCCATGGCTCGCAAGAGTTGGCTGTTGGCCTAGTGGTTAAAGTGATGTGGCATTGCCTGAGCTGGCTGATCGTCCGGGATCAGAGCCGGGCCAGGGTGCCAGACGGTCTGTGAGGGTTGCGCTGCGAGAGGGGGCTCAGGGCAAAGTCTAATTGTGATTGGCGCGTACCTTGCAGCTGCAAGAAACCCATGCGGGCTGAGTTTGCTTGGGTCCTTGGGGCGTCACGGCGTTGAGCGTCGTCGCCTTGTTCGGTTCTATTGTTGCATTGCATCGTTCCTGAATTCCTGTCTGGTCGTTTCCTTTGCCATTTTCTTCTTCCCCCTTCGGCCCTTCCTAAGCAGCCAAGTCCCCCCCCCCCCCCCGTGCCCCCCTTCCTTCAGATTGGGGTGACTGGCAAGTGCCATCTGGAGCCTCAGGCATATGCGAGCAGAACTTTCGAACGTTGTTCCCCTCGCTCTCTCTTCTCTCGCGACTACATGTTTCAACGACGGCCCCTCGGCACTGGGCCTGGACTTCAGGAACAATCCACACATGCGCTGCAGTGTGGTGTCAACGCTGGGTATCCGTATCCGTACGGATACCTACGGTCAAGGGGGCAGCCGCGGCGTGGCAAGGTGACATCCCCAAGTTCTCGACCACTGTTTCTTAATGTTTCCATGGGCGCACAGTCTGTTCAATGTTACATCGCAGCCAGCCGCCATGGACGCTGGGCGCTGGTTCATCCGATCAAAAGAAGAAGAAGCAAAATAAGCACTGGAATATGTCCTGTCTTTCCAACGCGGCAACGAGTCGTCCACATTCCAGCAATACGTCGCAGGCCTCCGCGTAGCACAGAGCACATTACCGAATGTGCGTAAAGATTGGAGGCTGACAAGCAGGTACCCGTTCTACACTCTCTGGGCCCCCCCGGAGCCACCGGCTGATCGTCATTCTTTCACATTCAGGATTCCCAAGGAGGGGTGTTCAACGGTGTTCGGACCCTGGCACTGCCTGGGCCTCTTCTTCCCCCCTGGACTCTCACACTCTTGACTAGCGAAAAAAGCTGGAGCCCTCTTCCCAGTTTCCGCGTGTTTGAAGGAACAAGCACCTGTCCGACGGTTCGTCCAATCATGCAATACCGGGCAAGGAAACAAGATGACATTGTGACAAGCGACAAGGCAAGTTGGACAGAGAGATTTGAGTCCGTGGAGAGACGAAGTGAAAGGTTGGACGAGCGGACAATGGCAAGGACATGGGACGGAGTTCACTGGGGGCCAAGGAGGCGTGTAGTCGAGCCTTTCACCCGTCAGCCGTCTGCCGCGGTCGAGCGGTTGTCGCGACAAAACAGCAAAGCACATCAACTGGCAAAGAGCAGAACAGACCAGACCAGCCGCGAAGGGATCGGTATCGGTAAGGCTCGAGACACATGTGATGGACTCAAGGCTTGGCTACACAGTATAGTATATGATGCTTGCTGACTTGGCAAGACTTTACGACTTTCGGCTATATCCTGCCGCCCCCGAATTCCAAGATCCATGGCCTGCGCCTCGGTGCCCACCTCGTGTTGTCCGATCTTCTTTCCACTTCCCGACAATCCAATAGCAGTCCATACGACGATGGTTTCCTCTCAGTCCCAAAACGAGTCATGACGTTGCTGGTTCAATGACTGGGCAGAACGATTGACGGCTTACGTTTCCTCGGCACCCAGTTCCGCTTGTCTGATGTCTGGATAGCGTGCAGTAGTTCGCCCTGCTTGCCCTGACTAACGACTTGACTTCCAGACAACGACAGTTTTGGGGTCCTGGGGGCGGATACGCGAACGGCCAGCAAACATCAAGATGGTGGATCGATCGAGCCTTGTTGGAGGGTCAAGAGGGGGCCACGCCCGTATCAAGGAGTCGAGGCTATCCCCTTGAAGACTTCCAAAGCAAGCCCGGCCCGCCAGAAATGGCCCGAAGCACGTCTTTTTTTGCGCGGATTGTCCCTTGGCGGACCGGTGCCAACGATGCAACGAGCAGGTAGGTCAAGAGGCTGCGCTAACGCATCCAACGGGCTATTCTTGCACTCCCCCCCATGAACCGTTCAAGTTGCTTCTTCTATCTTGGTACATTCTTCTTCCGGACGTCCAGCCCCAAACGCAGGGCCAACGGTTGCCATCAAGTCAACCAGTGACGACTAACGACTCGCACAGAAAAAATGCAGAGAAACTGCCTTGGCCAGGGGGGTGATGATGGATGATGGATGAGTCGAGCCGCAGGGACGGGCCACCAGTACCACTGGGTTCTTCTCTTCCATCATCCATGATCCATCTTTGGGTGAATGGTGGAGGACTACAGTCATCCCCTACTTTTGCTTTTAATTCCCTCTCGGGGCTTTTGCGACTTCTGTAGGACGCTACCCCATCCCTACGGTGCGGCCTGGTTGTGCCTGGACAGCGCTTCCATGCCCTCTCAGGTACCGATGGCACCGTCAGCAGCTCCTCCGTCACTTGGTTGGGCGAGAGGATGGTGGCGTTGGATGGATGGTGCCAGCGCTAGCAGGACCTGCAGGCCTCCTCCACCCCGCACCCCCCCCCCCCCCCCCTAAGCCCTGCTTTCCGCGCCCCCCTTCTTCCCACCTCACCCAGTCTCGCCAGTCCCGAAGTGGCTCACCTGTGCCTGTGGGCTGTGGCCTGCCCTGGTTGTTGCTGTCCAGGACTCCAACGTCGTGTTTGTGTGTGGTGTGTACTTCGTACCCGTCGTCTGGTGCAGTCTTTGCCTGACATACAAATCCCGGTCGACATCCGCTTCCCAGTTTCGTACGTCTTTTGGGATCTTCTTTTCCTCTCTCTTTTCTTCATCCAACAACGCTCTTTCTTGTTCGACCACAAAACTCATTCATTCATTTTTCTTGGACCCTTGAGCAGTGCTCGACCAACTATCAGTCCTACCAATTCATTCCTTCAAAGAAGACTGTTTCGAGGTTCATCCAAACTACCAACCAACGGATTCATCCCGTCTTTGTCGTCACAGAGAGTTCAGTGAACTCCCCTTTTCATCCCAACTCTACAGAAACAGCCTGCCTCAAAACATCAAGTACATGCCAAGCACTGCTCCGAGCTCCCATCGACAACCTTGAACCCAACCAGGCTTTCCCACGCTGTAGCAAGCACATTCCCTGATCAAGAGGCTTAGCTCATTGCATTCATTTCGCTTCCAACTCCACCTTGACGGAAAGGACGATCACCAACTATACTATCACGAGACCGTATAAGTCTCCTGAATCACAACAACAAAACTCACTTCAAATACCAATCAACAGTCTTCACCAGACCAAAATGAAGACCGCCACCTTTCTCTGCGCCGTCCTGGCTACCACTGCCATTGCCCAGCCCCATCAGCATGGAAGCAAACGCCGCCATGTCCACGGCAAACACCAGAAGCGCGAAATGAAGATCGAGTGGGTTTACGAGACCGTATGGGAGACCGTATACGCCGACTCAACTTCCACCGTCTGGGTTAGCTCCGACGTCCCGTCCACCAGCTCTGCGCTTCCTACCACTTCCGTGCCCGCCCAGTTCTTCGAGCCCGCCGACCAATCGTCTTACACCACCTTGTCAACCTCCACGAAGCCTTCCGCTGTTGCCTCCCCCATCAAGGAGTCCACTCAGCAGCAGGCGCCCGCCCCCGTGCCCACCACCACATCTGCGCCCGCCCCTGCTCCCCAGACCCCGACTCCCGAGCCCGTCCCGACTTCGACCTCTGTCTACGTTGCTCCGGCGCCGGTTCCTACCACGTCCACTACTCCCGCGCCCGCACCCCAGCCTACTACCAGCCAGCCCGCTCCCGCGAGCACTTCGGCTGCTTCTGGTGGCTCCGGCGGTGGTTCCGGAGGCACCACGCACACTGGTGACCTGACTTACTACGCTGTTGGTCTTGGCGCCTGCGGTGAGGACGACAGCGGCAAGGACAACACCGAGAACATTGTTGCCGTCTCTCACTTGGTCATGGGTGCCCAGTCCAACGGCAACCCGTACTGCGGAAAGAAGGTCCAAATCACCTGCGATGGCAAGACCACCACTGCTACCGTCCGCGACAAGTGCATGGGCTGCAAGGCGGAAGACATTGACGTCAGCGAGAAGGCCTTCCTCGACCTCTTCGGCAGCCTCGGCGTTGGCCGTGGAACTGTCGAGTGGAAGTTCCTTGACTAAGAGGCGCAATGGCGCGCGCTCTGGCTCCAGCCTCCAAGGCCGTCCAGTGGGTTCTACGGGTGCTTCATCGTCTTTTGCCATGCCGCTTCCCAGTCCGCCCATCATGGCAATTTCTTTAAGACAGCCATCCTTCACTCGAATCTCAATAACAAATATGGCTATATTTCACACCCTCTTCAACGGGGACGGCGCCTGGTTCACAGCACGGGACTGGATTGGATAACAAAAAGACAATGAACAAAACTACGGTTTTGATGATGTGATGACGAATATCTCTATACCTGTGGATGCGAATCCCATTCTTGGGTCCATCATGGGCGGATGCATTTGGTGTTCTGTTTGTGGATATGCTTGTCCACCGGTCAGTTTCTAAACTTAACTTTCAATGTATATATCTATTAGGGGAGTCCACCCCCCATGTGGTACTCCCCGAATGGGCTATTGGAACCAATGTGGGTTTCCAGGAAGAAAATAAAAAGTACAAAAAACCCCATCATTGGAACTCGATCTGTACTCCCACCCTCCGCGTTTCCTGGACAATCGGCCGAGTGACTGCTCTTTTTCAGGTCTTGGCATTCTCCATGTCTGAGAACCCTCGCAAGTCTCTTCGCAATGACATTTGATGGAAGTATCACTACGCAAGGAGGGGCAAACAGCCTCCCACTGGTTCGCAAAATGACACCAGTCGGCATTCCAACGGCGAGCTCAGGTGACATCCGAAGAAGAAAAAGCAAATGTTCGCCCAGCCTGGCAGAGACATTCTGCATCGCATCTGTTACTGCGGCTGCGTTAGCCGTGGAGACCTCAAAGCCCCTCTTTAGCTCTAGAGTTTGCGGAGGCGATTGTCTCTGAGGGACTTGTTAAAGTGTAAAGTCAGTGTCTCGCTCCGCAACGATCCGGATCGTCCTGGGCCAGTCCAGCGAGCCGGGACGGCGTTCAGCATTCCTTCCTCCGTCTGCGCCCCCTTCACCTTTTACTTATTTAGTAAAGTCTGGTTTCACGAGGCGAGAGCATTCCACGGAGGAGTGATATTCCGTTGAGGTGGGAGGTTAGAGTCTAGATGGTCAAGTCATTGCCACAGTGTAGGGGGATTCCTGCTCGTCGCTGTGTGAAAGCTACCTACGCTGTGATGGAGGAGGACATTGTTCGAAAAACTCGCAGACAGACCATGTCTTTTATACGCCCTATCAAACAATGGCAGAGGTAGCCAAGGTAATGTAGGCTCGCTAGCGAATCCAACAACTACAACAAGAACATGTCCAAGTCATCCATCTCCTTGATGGAAGGCAAAGCCCTCGCCTTCTCAGCCCTCTCCTCGCTAGCCAAGAACTCGGCCGGGAGCTTCTCTTCCTCGTCGTACTCCTTCTTCTCCCCGCCGCTGCCCAACATCATCATACCCGCCACAGCCCGTCCGCACAGCGCGGCCTGCGGCATCCCGTGCCCTGTATACCCGGCGCAGACCCACAACCCTTCCCCGCCGCCGAGGACGGCCCCGGCGGGCACCTCTCCGACCCACGGCCGTCCGTCGCGCGAGAAGGCCATGATACCCGTCCACTCGTGGCTCGCCTCCAGCTCCTTCTTGCTGTTGTTGGCGCTGTTCTCTTCGTCCTGCGCCTGCGCCTGCCCCGTGCCCGCTGCAGCAGCAGTACCAGAAATAAGATCAAGATTCCCCGCCCCAGCCCTTCTCAAATACCTCGCAACAACAGCATCAACCTCATCATCATCAGAAAAACCCACCCCGCGCAGCGTGCCCCTCGCCCGCCCACCGCCCAGAATCATCTCCAGCCCGGGACCAGGCCGCTGGATCAGGTAATCATCCTGGTTTGGCTCACCTTTCGCAGCATCAGAGCTCGCCATGAAGACGTAGCTCCTCCCGAGCTCGGCCCGGGGCCGGGGCGGGAAGAGGGACGCGACTTGGCCTCGGACGGGGACGACGAGGTCAGCGAACCGGGGGAGGAGGCGCGAGGTGTATGCGTTTGAGGCGAGGAGGACTTGTGCGGTGGCGATTTGGCCGCGCGGGGTGTGCAGGATCCATGATGGTGTGGAGGAGGGAGTTGTGGGTGGGAGGTGCTGGAGGCGGGTTACGGGCGTGGAGGTCTGGATGTTGAAGGAGACGACGCCTTGCTCGGTGCCCCCTGACGAGGCGTTGTCATCCCCGACCTTGTCGACCCCGAACCGCCGCAGCAAGTCCTCAAAGATCCACGCGACGAGCTTGTACGGCCACACGCTCGCCGCCTCCTCCTGCACGACGGCGCCGACGGCGTCCGGGATCCGGAGGCGCGCGAGCTCCTCTGCGTCGGTGACGAGGCGCGCGAGGGGCGCGAAGCGGGGTGGGAGTGCGGCGATTTGCTTACGGGCGGCGTCGACGAGGTCGTGCGTCAGGAGGGCGTGGACGCCGCGGAGGGAGACCCAGTCGCAGGGGATGGCGTTGTCGGTGATGAGATCGCGGAGGTGGGCGTAGTTTGCGAGCTCAAAGGTTGCGATGGCGGTGTTTGGGTTGTAGGCTACTGGTTGGCAATGGCCGCCGTTCTGGATGGGTGATGTTAGTTCCTGATGATTTCTTTACAAGGTAGGTTGGAGGGTTTGGGATGTTGGTTGGGATGGTATGGTGATGAGTGAGCGAGACGATGGTATGAACCAACGCTCTCATGGTGAATTCGCCCCCTCCCATATTATGAATAACCTCCATCATGGCACATTCTCAAATCACACAAGAAACCATAAGAAATCATTAGAACTCACCCGCCCAGTAGCTCCCCAACAAACCTCCCGCGCCTCAAGCAGAACAACCCTCTTTCCCTCCCCAGCAGCGCCAGCCCGCTCCAGCAGCTCTTTGGCAGCAAAGGCGCCCGTGATGCCGCTGCCGACGACGACAATGTCCGCAGTCGGCGGCAGGTCCCTCGTGGTCCTGTGGCCGAGCAACGTCTTGGAGGGCTCACGGTGCCAGTACGATGCCGTGCTCTTAGCCGAAGGCAGGTCGGCTTGGCCTGGTTGGAGGGTTTCGCCCGTCATTGCTTGCTTACCTACTGTTTGGGGGTTGAGATGCTTCGGGTCTCTTATCGGGGCTGAGGGGTCGATGATAAGCCTTCCTAAAGCCGCGATGTGCCGATTTGTATGGTGTGGATTAGATGCCAGAGACTTGTTCGTATCAGTCCGGAATTCTCTGTGAGATGCACTTCTTTATATTGAAATTGGGAGCTGCTGGCCGCGTGGACTGTTTAGTCATGTGGTTGAGTGAGCAAAGTGGTGGTAGTGGTTGATCATCCGTCGCCGCACATGTGAGGTGCGGTCGGCCTTGCCCCTCCGGCCCTCGCACTCCTCCCACCGTACGAAAGCCGAAATGCGGCATCAACGACACACGTCCGCGGCGTGCGTCACGGCTATCGTACAGATCCACAGAATGCTAACAATTACGGATACGCGTTTTTCAGGCAAGCCAAAGATACGAAGATCATCAAAAGATTTGACATTACTGCCCGACTACCGTACCAAATTTTGAGGGTGGAAACGCCAATTTTCTCTATTGTGCCATCAATCCATTGGCCACCCGGAGCGCCGCAGCCGTGAATGCCGCAGTGCACACTGCCTGGGCCAGCGAAAGTCATATCTACAAGACAAGAGTACGCTAAAGGACGTAAATAGCGCAGAAGAAACACCTCTCCAACTCTTTTCTCGTTTCTGGTCCGTGGGGTCGTGATTTGGTTGTCGTCGCTTAACCCTGCATCTTTCTTCTCTTTCCGATCTGGGCGGAGAAACCAGTCTTGATGGCGGTGACGGAACGTCTCGAACCGCAAGAGTTGCAAGTAATGAAGTACAGACGGTTCTCTCCCTTGGACAGCTCGGTGTCGGCGGACTTGCCTGGGGTCGGTTGTCAGTAATTGCAGCGAGACGCAAATGGTGGGGTATTTGGTTCGTAAGCTTACAGGTCTTGCAGGTGACGTACTCGACTATAGGGAAGAAAAGAACTTTGGTTAGCATATACGCGGCAGCAAAACGTCAGGGGCAAAAGAGCAAAGACTCACTAATGTACTTGCGCAGCACGTTCTCGAGTTGCTTCTGCTGGAAACGACCCTTGATAACAAGGCGTCTGCTTCCGTCGACGGAACCACTGGTACCCAACTCGGAGAAGAGGTAGGCCGTGACGTGCTCCTCGGTTCTCTTCATGCGCTTGCAAATCTCGGCAATGTTGGCGAAAATGGTCTTCTTGTTGCCTTCGCGCATGCACTGCGGGGGCGGAATCTTGTAGCTCTTGGAGCCGCTGAGGGCGTGGTCGGGGTTCTTCTGAGACAGCTGGTGGAAGAAGCGGTTCAGGAGCAGGCTGTAGCTGAGGGCCTTGGTCTCGTCGTGCTGCCAGATACCGGTGCCTTGGTCCATGTCGCCATCGTCGGCGGCGCCCTCGGCCTCGGCGCCGTCCTCCTTGCCCTCGAGCTCAAGGGCCTTGAGCTTGGCGGTGAACTCGTCATCCTCGCCGCCCTCGGCAGCCTTCTTGGTGCTCTTCTTCTTCTTCTTCTTCATCGTCAGGTCGAGACCATCCTCGCCAGCGGCAGCCTCCTCGGCGTCGTCACCTTCCTTGGGAACCTTCTTCTTCTTCTTTTTCTTCATTGACAGGTCGAGGCCGCCATCTTCAGCAACATCGGGGACAGGGGCCGTCGCATCTTCGGCTCCAGCTTGAGAATTGGCATCAGCATGTAAGGCTTCAAGGGCTGCGGTAAGCGGTGGCGTACGGGGCGTGTGCGACTGGGCTGTCTCCTTGGGTTCCTCGGTGGCGTTGACCATCGTGACTGAGCCGTCGACGTCGACTACTACTTGTTCGTCTGTAAAGGCGACGGATTTGCGCTGTTTGCGTTCGGGAGCGGGAGTGGTATCCTGTGGGGGGAGGCACCTATGTTAGAAGACGATATTCAATGGTTGTTGGTTTTTTTTTTCTCCGTTTGAGGAATTGAGAAAAAAAAACTGGATCAGTAGAAGAGGGGACGGGGGGTCGAACAACAGTCAGGTGGTGATGATGTCTAGCAGCTCGGGCGGTTTGACAGAGGTTGAGTCACGGAAAATGTTCTGTTCAATTCGTGTCTGGTTCCGGTTCGCAGTGGGGTAATTAAGCATGGGATTGGTGGAGGGGCCAGTGGGTGGTGGTGGTGCACAGAAGTGCGCATGAGGGAGGGCTAGCAACGGGAACTTACTGCGACATCCATGATTGCGGCCTGTGTCTCACTGAACCGAGTCTCGGTTAGGTATCCTGGGGCGGCGCCTGGTGAATTCCTTGGGCTGATAATCTGGGCTGGTCCACGGTGCGAGTGAACGAGTCTACTGTCGGCGCGATGTGGTGCAGAAATCCAAACGACCGGTCTGGGAAATGGCGGAAGGAGGCTGTCTGTGGTCCGTCACAAAATGGTTCGGTAATGGGAATTTGTGAGAGCAGAGTTGAGAATTGGCTGCAGCAGTTGGGATATTTTCTTGAGGGGGTGTGACGTGAGGGTGGTGGAAGACGACTATCTTTGCCCACTGTAAGGTAGCGGCTGCGCGCCCGACAGGTGTGAGTGCCCGGGCTGTGACTCAGTGATTTTACGTATCACGTGACTCGAGGTGACTCTCTACGTCTCTGCCTGTTGCCGTTATGTCCCCCCCTGTTTCTCGCCCTCCAACGTCAACGGGACCCATCAAAAGTGAGCTCCCAAAGCCAATCAGAGTTGAATTTCCCAACGTCTGCGAGTGGCCGTTCCGATTACCGTTTCTGGTTGAGGAAACGGGGGGAGAGCTCCAGACGTTCGATCTCCGCTGTTGGCCCATTCAAGCTGCACCGACCATTGGAGAGGCATCGCGGACCTTGAATCAACCCTCCCCCGCGAACGCCCATCAAGAGGGTCGTCTTGTATCATAACAGCTACGAATATCGAAAGAACGCGTACCAAAGCTAAGCTTTGGCTATTTCCGAGAAGCAGCGCGCCGACTGAGCTCGATACCCTCTTCCCCCGATTCCTTAAGCGCACCTTGACCTAAGAACCGAGCTGCCGACAACCAAGGGCCGACGACGCCTGCCTTCCCCCGTCACGATGGCATCCACCGACTCGTTCATCTTCCACGATGACGTCTCACCTTCCTCGGATAATGACGAGATCGACTCTCTGCCTTCAATATCGAGCAGCGTGCTAGACTCCGAGGACGAATCGGACGCCCAGGAGGAATGGGAGCGTAGTCTGGAGCAGGTTCAGCTCCTATTGACTATGGTCATTGTACCCTTTGCCGGGAAATATTTTGGTCGCAAATTTGCATACTGGAGTAAGTTTCCTTCCTCGGTTCCTCAAGTCTCTTGGTGTTGTTCGAGATGCTGACACGGTATACCCATCAGGCTGGTCACGATACATGGAATGGATGCACAACGTCGAGGTGCGGTGGACGAACAAGGGCGCCTTCAAGGCCGCCGGCGCGGCTGAGGCAGCAGCAACATTATAAGAAAGCGCATTTGGGGCCTATGGGCTCTTGGAAAAACCGATGGACTTTGGGCATTCTACTATCAAGCCTGTAACATCCTACATGGTGTTCGGCGTGTATACATGGTTGGCGTTGAGGGCAAGCCGTCATAGAAGACTAGGCGGCACATTTTGAGGCGAGGCATCCAGCCCGGCCGAGCAAACTAGATCTAAATCGAACATTTGAACGAACTGATAGTCCAACATGAGATCCATACCAAGGGGGCAAAGGTTCACAGGCTCACGCTCATAGTGGGGTTTGTCTCCAGGCGGTCATTTTTGGAGCTGCACACATATTACCATAACCTCTGATTAGGGGCTATCATCAACAGTGGAAGAAAGAGTAGTTCTGTAGAATGGTATCAATTCGTTGCTTTACTACAAAGAGCTGCTGATGGCTCTGTGGCCAATGCCCCGGCTCCCAAGGCATTGAAGGCCCCGCCGTATCCATGACAGTATATCCATGTCACCCCATATCCATATCCTGTCATTCATTACTACTACTACATGCCATCGTGAAAGGTAAAGTAAAGCAATAACCTGCCGCCAACGCCGTTAGGACTCATTGGCCCTCCCGCAAATCTTGCGTGAACCAAATATCCTACCCAGCTGCCCTGCCCAATTCCGTACCCGGTGTTTTCTATCTCATTTGCAGAGTCCGCGCCGCACAGTACTAAGAAAGTCGAAGACTTAGACGCCGACCTGGGCCATGCTAGGGCGAGAGCTGCGGACAGAGCCGCCGCCGCGACGGAAGTTCATGAAGGTGAAGAAGCCTCCTGCGCACAAGCTTGCGAAAAGGAACCACACGAAGACGGTGCTGGCCTGGATCTCGCGGCAGCGCTTCTCGTCGTCGCCGGAACCCCAGACGATGTAGTCGCTCGGCAAATCGCTCCTGTTCAAAGAGCCGCAGTTGACCGCGCGCAGCTTGGCGGAGAGAACAATGGCGTCAATGAAGGTGAAGAGGATGGCGGCGCCGTCGAGGGCCAGCATGGCAATGGGGATGGCGATGGCCGAGACAAAGGCGGCGGCGAGACCGTAGAGAGCTGCCAGCCAGCTGATGACGGCGACGAACATGGAGAAGTTGATGGCGGCCATGGCGGAGCCGGCGCTGTTGATGTTGAGGGCGATGACATTGCCGATCAGTGCTGTGAAGAGGAGGACCCAGAGGATCTGTGCACCTCGGACGAGGATCTGCAACATTGATTCCATCATGTTGGGCTGATTGTGTATCGAGTGTCGTGGATATTCGGCACGAATCTCAGGTGTCTAGACTTGAAAGCCGAGAGAACGGTCTTCTATGAGCAGTGGAATGTGGACTTGGTATCGATGGCTTGTTTATAGCAGTGTCTAAGACGAAGCTGGATGCTGTGGCGTGCCTGGTGCTTGATGAAGATGGTGAATCTTTACTGGTGATATTGCCAAACCAACAATAAGACGTTGATTTTGGACTGTAGCTGTATGTGTGAGATGTGGAGGAAGACAAAGTCGAACAGAGTGTTAAAGGGTGGCGTGGGACAAATAAGACAGTTCTGGATCTAAACTTTGGTTGTCGGGTGATTAAGGTCGTGGCGGAAAGGCAGTCGCAATGAGCAGCAGACAAGGGTATCTTTAATAAGTTGGGAGAGTGGGATGGGATCGGTCGAGGAGGGTTCTTCCCAGGCAAAAGTCAGTCGGACATGGATGGGAACCTAAGCCCTCTACCCTCCGTACTGCGTAAGGTGAGGAAGACTCTTCGGCACCGGGCATGGACATTTGCGCTGGCTGCTGCGGAAGCTGCGCGCGGACAAGGACAAGAGGGCAGCCAGAGCTTCGATGATGGATCGGCACTTGCGGGAACTATGACCTCACCAGCCAATGTCTTTGCTTCACGCGCGCAAAATACTAGGTACTCCGTACACAACAACACACAGCACTAACACGGTACGTACCTCAACTTACCTTCACCTTCCGTGCTCTGGCACCTGAGCCTCTACGTATACGTACTCACCTACTCTACACAATACCTTCCTTACCTTTACCAAGGTAGGTAAGTTACTCAAAGTACAGACCATGCCGGTAGGTAGGGCGAGCTTTCTGCATTGCATTGCTGCTTCAAGCTTGACATTGCTTGAGCGCCTGACATGCCTAACGCGGTCCAATGGCATCATCCAAGGGCCCAAGACGGCCCCGACGATGCCGCTAGACGGCTTGGACGAGACCGCGTTCAGCCCAACGAATCCCTGGGACATCCGCGACCGTCATACATTTCGCGCCCACCGAGCTTGCCCCCGTCCTGACGGATAGGGCAATATCCAACTGGCAATAGCTAGCTTCTGAAACCAAGGCGGTAGAATCTTGCAGGGGAGGGAGTAATTCGGAGCTGAGAGAGAGAGATATTTCTTTACAGATGGTGGCGCGTTTCTGGTGGCGCCTCTCCCGACGTGCCCGAAAAAGCGTGGTCCACTGGAGCCATTTCTCATTCAAGCTTGTGGACTGTTGGGAAACTCTTGGGAGACCGCAAGCAAAGCCGCAGCGCTCGTGGTCGCGCGGCTCTCATTGGCAATTGTGGCTGGCTCTGTTCTTCTGCCTTCCTGGCATGCAGGGTTCATCAGTTTCCCATTCAGCTTTCCTGTTGGATGGATGGAAGGGAAAAAAAACAAACTAAAAAAACTTTTCTCGGTCCTCGAGCCCTGTCAACTCTGTCAGACTCCTTCCCTACGGATACTGTAATTGTACTGTAGGTTACCGGCGGGGTGATGCCGGTTGGCAGGTGAAGAGCCTCGCAGTCCCCCTCCCACTTCTTTGGGACCCTGGGATCCTGGAAAATCCTCTGCCCCTTGTCTGCGCGTGTTTCTCCCGGCCCCTGCAGCAAATCCCTTCCCCCTCTTCCTGGCGATTCGCTGTTGCTTTGGGGAAAATCGGCCGCAGCCCAGCAACCCCCCAGGGAAAACATCCCCCTTCAACCATCCACATCAATCGCCAACCCATCTAAGCCCTGGTCATTTTCGTCTTCGTACCCTGGTTTGCGATCGCTGCCATCCTATCAAACCTTGTGCAACGACTTCGGTGAAACAAGGTGAAGCCAACATATCCCGCGCTTGGGAAACCTCGTCGCATCGAACTCTAGTGTATCTGCCATCCATCAACAAGAACCTCACGGAACCTCATGTCAGGAGTCACGATAATCGAGGTAAAAAAGCAGAAGATGCAGGGGCACCAACCCCCCAGTAGTTTCCCACGGACAAGCCACACCCGCGTACCAATCAACAAGCTTCCGGCGTGGTGAACTCACGGCCATTATCTACACCCTCAAACCAGCGCTACCAGCCCATGTCTGTTCCCTAGGTTCCGGTTGAACTTTTGCCGTCGCTTGAAGGCGGCCGGTTTCTATTGATTATTAGCATCACAACAACATTAGGGGCAAATAGAAACTCTTTGGATTTCCGTATGTTTCTTTGCTGATGGAGTTTCCGAAAGTCTCAAGCTACCAAGCTTTATGGGCCTGATGTGTTCCCAATCCATTGCTTTTAAACTCTGACTAGTATCATTGAGAACGTAACACGGAGCGATGAAAGACACTTCTTTGAAAAGACACGTTGAGAACCTCAATCCTACTGGCATTGGAAGGATCATAACCTTTGTTTCCCTCACAGCTCCCCAACTTTCGGCTCCTGAGACGTATGTACAGTTGCATACCTAGTTATCGGGTTAGTGACCCGAAGCGATTTCCTACTTAATCCCTGATGGAAATTTTCATTACACGTTTGTTGTCAAGAAAGCTCATAGCAATGTAGCTCCAAGATACCCTCCACACTGCTGCTCTGGGATCGTGACGCTTACAACAATTGACTCACATCCAAATGGATCCGAATATCGCAAGTCATATTCAAGATTCCATGGCGTCATGGCTAGCGAGCCGCTGTCAAGCTACTGCCGCAGGAAAAGAATTACAATTTCTCTAGCGTGGAAACCATGAGCTGTTGTTTGTACGCCGCCTAAGAGTGCTAAGGTAGGGAGCAAAGCAGACCAGGGCAGACAGTGACACACAGACACACGCCATGGGTTCATTAATTAGTCCCGAAGCCAAGCCGGGCACTTTCGTCCTAAGAAAGTACGCCAGGAAGGGAATCATGACGTTACTCGAGTGCAATGCGTCTACGCACGGTCATCAAAAAATTACCCGCATCTAATCATGTTCTTGGCAATGAACTAAGAGTCCACCGCCGATGTGTATCACACCAAAGATGACCTCCCCTGCTATTGACCCTTCTACCATGTATGACTCCAACGCCATAGCCGTAGCTGTCCCGTTGTTGCATTTCCCGCGTATTCCGCGTGTCTCTCAACCTAGTAGTTGGAGAAGGAAAAAGAAAGAACTACTGCCCCCTTCACTCCCCAGATTTTGGAGAAACTGTATCGTGTGCTCTACCGGCTAAAGTTCAAAAGTCCCTCAATATACTTCCGTGTATCAATGCCGATCCCCGACGCAAGACGGCCCGCGCCGTCACCGCCCCACCCCGATCCCGTCAACCCTATCCCGCCCTCGGCAAACGACGAGCTGACGCCGCGGTAGCCCGCGTGATCGCTCGCTCTACGGATCAAGAAAATCTCCTTACTAACCGTCGGGCTCGGCGGCGGAGGTGACAATGGCCGCGCCGTACTAGAGCCGTCGCCGCTCGCGGGGGAAACGTCCCTGTCAGATGTCGAAGTGTCGTCGTCCTTGTAGGTCTGCGTCGGCTGGTATGCTTCACTGCCGGTGGTCGCGGCGTGTCGGTTCAGGATGCGCTGCCAGACGACCCACCAGCCGCGGTTGGTCTTACAGGTTCTCTCGAGCTGGTTCATTTCCGGCCGGGTAAGGCTGAAAATGTTGAGGAGTTGCATGTGTGTGTTCATGGCCTCCACCCTTGACCACGGTAATTGTGCGTTTGATAGGAACGCTTGTGCATGATCCGGAATATTCGGGATAGTCGAATGCACCGTCATAGCCTCGGCGTCCCATACAAGGTCGTAGATGTTGGACGTCGAGGAACTAGCCTCCGGCCTCTCCGGCCGATATTGGATCGAAGATAAAAGCGGCTTTCGTAGAGGTGCCAACTGGAAGTGAAGAGACTTGTAAAACGAGTTCCAGGCCAGCGAATCGGTCCTCAGTTCAAAGACAAAGGTGAATATGAAGGGTTTGTTCACGTATACGACGACGCGCATCTTGCTTGCTTTGTTTGAGTCCTGGTTTCCGAACGTTGGGTTCGAGCTCACGGCGTTGGCCCCGAGAGGCGTCACGTCGTTCGTGAGGTTGCCGAGGTTCCTCACGACATCTGCCTCTAGGCGATCCGTACCTACTTTGTCGAGTTCAACGTGTACGGTGCGGAGCATAGTACGAGAGTTCGACTCGGTTTCAGCTGCCTCGTCTGAGGCTCCGTTCTCCTCATCGCCACTGCCCTCCTCTACATCGCCCATTAGGCCGATAAGATAGTGTCCCTCGTCGTCATCCATCTGCTTCGGTTTCACATGCGCAGTCGCCGCGGCCTTAGAGGACCCCCCTGTCTGAAAGGCAGCAACGGCAGATAGTTGGCTTTTGACGGCAGATGAAGAAGCATCCGTTTTGCCGATTGACCAATATGTGCCGTAACCCAGCTTCATGACCGTCATAAGTTTGTCCATGTGGCCATCACCCTCTCCTTGTGTTGACGTAGCTGTGGAATCAGGGGCGGCGTCAGCGTCGGCGTCTTCAGGAACGGAGTGTGAGTTGTCCTTGGTGGAACCCGGCATTTTGGCCTCTTTCACGGTGCCCATCTCAAGCCCACGCCGCTCAGCCAGCGTTCTTGTTGATGTCGAGCTTCCGGAACCAGACCCAGAATTTGATCGATGAGCGCTGGGACGAGCAGGTGGCCGTACTGCTGGTTCCGCCGCAGCCGTCGGGGCCGGGGCTGGTTTGGCTACCAGCGCCGGCTCGGCTTTTTTGCCCCGTCGACCAGCGCGAAGAGATGTCGGACTGTCGATGACGCCGTAGGCGTTATCTCCCCACGTATACAAGTCTTCCATCCACAGGCTCACGTCTCTCACTGACTTGCGAGACAGCGCTCCTGTCCCCACAAATATCGCACCGTCTTCAGGACCTGGATCTTGTCCGGTACCCAACCAGGACCTCTTCGGCTCCTTGCCGTCTTTCGACTCCCCATCGGCATCCAGGGATCCAAATTTTGAAACCACGATGTCTTTGAGACCCTCAATTCTAGCGACGAGGCCTTCCAACACCTCTCGTTCTCCACTGCCGCGCTCCTCTTCGCCGACGCCTATGCCCAGTTCGCCAGAGGCAGCGATATTGATGCCGCCAAATACTGTGCGAATCGGGTTCCCTTGTAACATTACGTTCCAAGTTGACAAGAATAGGTCCCAATATCGACCAAGCAGGCTGAGGAAATTGGTCCTTCGGGAGCGTACAAATAGAGCACTGAGTGAGGTGCCATGATGAAGCAGAAAGATGGTGTGAGCACGGAACAGATCCTGCAGCAGAAGGGATGAGGGCTTAATCTCCTTAGACGAAAACTCGACAACCTCTTCTGGGGTTTCTTGTGCTTTCCCTGTCTGGAGCTTAGGCGGCAGAGGAATGCGAGTGAGATCAATGGACTGTAGACAATCAGCAAGAGAAAGCAAGTTGGTGTGAGGTTGAACGCACAGCAAGAATCCACCAGTCTTGCTCCAGCTCATGGAGGATCACACGAGTCTTATCCGTGTCGATGGAGTCGACAGGCTGGCCGCCGGAGAAGCTTTTGCTGAACTCGACCATGCCCTGAGCAAGACCGATCTGACGAAGACGTTCATTGCGCTCTTCCTGAGACAGATTCTCGGTGGGCTTGGCACGTGAGCGGTGACGCTTTTTATGTCGCTGGGTGCTGACTGAAGAGTAGTAGACAATTTGATCGTCAAGAGTCTCATCGGAATGACCCAACGACGGGTTAAAGATGGCAAGGAAGCCCAGCTGAGCCGGAACGATGCCACCCGGTGACAATGCCATGGCCGTTCTGGTTGCAACGGGGTTCGCGGTCCCGTCAACGGCGGTTCACTGAGAGCGGGGACGGAATGCCGTGATGCCCAGATCCATAAACCCCGAAGAGACGGGTGCAACGTCGGTGCGGCGGGGCCAAACGGTAGCAGCAAATGCTGACGACGGAAACCAGATCCCCCGGCTCGTGAGGTGGCGTCTAGAAGGCTGCCGAGCGTTTCTTCTTACGCTCTAACAAGCGTAAAGGGCAGCAGCAGCAGCAGCAAGGCAAGCTGGGGCGCAGAGGTGAGGTAGATCAAGGTACCGGTATTCGAAAACGGAGCCGGTGTTACTGACGGTGACAGTCAGCAAGGGTAAGCTCGAGGCCGAGGCTGCCAACGCAACCTGGATGGCAATGCAAGCGCGCACACGCAGTGCTGGCGAGTGAGGTTCGCGATGCTGGCAAAAGCCAAGTCATTCGGTTTGTGCCTCCTGCGTCGTTTTGGATGAAGATCAGCGGCGGTTCGAGACTGCCGGGAGGGCCGAATGGGGCTTTGGGCGGGATGATATGGGAATTCAGTGAGATCTCGATCGAGATTCCCCACGATGCAGGTCGTGCTCAAGTGGCGCCCAGGACAAGGAGATGCGAGGCGATTGAAGGTGAGGGCCCAGGTGGTCTGGCGCTGACTTGATTGGACCGAAGCGAAGCACTGTACTTTGGAAGGTATGCTGCGGAGGAGTGGAGGCTAGGCCCGGCCGAACTTGGCGTTGGTGCTTTCTCGCTTAATTTGGCCCGCGGTCTAGGCCATCATGGGCCTTTTACCTCTCGTTGTCTTTGCTCTCTTCTGTTTCTCTCGATAATAACCAAAGTCAAACTCAGTCAGAGTGGAAGCAGATGGACAGTGTTGTATACCTTGGATGTGTACCTACACCGGGACCACTGGTTAACAACTTACTTAAAGCCGGGCCCGACGGATGCTGGCAAGCACTTGGGATGGAAGAAAGATGGGATAGAAAGACAAGACCTTCAGGTACCTATCCCGCTATGGAACGTTGACCAGGATAGCGGTATGTGCTGTTAGTGCTCGCTCGAATCCGATGGGCAATCCTCAGAGGGAACCGCAGAAGTGTGTCCGAGTGCGGATGCCGCAAGAAAGCCCAGAACGTGGACCGACTTCCACATTTCCGTCAACTCCGTTTCAGCAGCGGTCAAGCGCGTACCAGGCCTGGACTGCTCTGACTGGCCGGGGAGAGAGTTATCTTTGTGGTACGCAACCACGCAACCTAGGTACCTTACTCTCCCACGACTGGACGAATCTCCTGCCTCCCATGGTCTAGTGGTGCACTAAGCCAGGAAGGTTCGCGGTGGAGCGACGGCTCACGTGCAGCTCATTACTCCCGAGTCTTTGGGAAACACATTTCTCCACGTGGAAGTTCAACTTAAATCTCATGCCTTGGTGATGACCATGACCTTGAGCTTCTACCGGGCGAAGTCCGAATCTAGGAGTTTCGATTCAACGGCATACCTTTCCAGCAGTCCATGATCTGTGCTAGAAAGCAGCGCCTTCGATTTGGCTACGCCGAGTGCTGCATACTTCTATGGAGTTCACGCGGCCAGTGAAGGTTACAGAAATCCCCATTCACTTTCTAGGCCGGGTTTTAATATTTGATTGCTCCTAATCAGGCACATGAAGCGGGCTGTGATGGCCATCCGCGGTGACGGATTCCTCACCTCGAGAAAGACATCACTTGACTGGATATCATCTCGCATAGTTTATAAGCCGTTATATCCCCTGTGAAACACTGGAACGACAACTCTGGGCCGAGAGTACAACAATAGTGACCAGTACTTCGCCTTGAAATGGTGTTTGGGGAAGACCTAGTAAAGGATGTGACACACACGCAGGTCTCATGTCATGCTCAGATTCGTGTCATCGTTAAAGTATTTGCTTTCCCTTGAAGATGGTGGTATTATTCTCAACTCCATTTTCCAGCTTCCCTTTCTAGCCACCACTGTGGCCCCAAATCTACTACAAACCACAATACCGCTATGCTGTAACTTTAAAACGTCGTCTCCCGTAGCTTCCCAATTTTGCCAATCTCGTACTCTATCCAGCGGCCGACCCGCGTCCGTCCCGGCACAAGAATGCTGCCCGGGTTCATGACGTGACAACCCTCGTACGTCACACAAAACGGCGGCGCCGTCGTGTCCACGAGGACCATCGAAGTCGGCAAAGGGTAAAGGTGCAGAGCCGTCGCATAATCCCAGTGTACTGGGCGGATTGCTTGACGAAAAGGCGAGAGGTATCCCTGGTCCAGAATCGTCTTGACGAGCTTCCGCGCCGTGTGGATATCTTGAGGTACGCTCGAGTTGACCGCTTTGACAGCGGGCTTCTCGCTAGGAATATCGACGTCCATAGCCTCCTCTGGTTCGACCTGAACGTTTCCTGCCATATCGACGTCGTCTACCCCCAGTCCAGCTTCAGGAGGCTGGTTCTCCTCGTCCTCGCCCTCATTCTGTTTTGATAACTTGAGGCGGACTGCCGAGCGGCGGAGGCGGGCCGAGATGTCGTCTCGGAAGACGACAACTTCGTGATTCGGGCCAAAGAGTGTCAGACGACTCGGATTCGATGTCCAGATGGCCTCGCCATCGCTCTTGGCCCCGAGCTCTGCATTTGCCGCCGCGAAAACGCGTCGAATGCGTGATGTGAAGACGTCCGGTGCTCCTTTCCGGGGCAACGGGGTCGCGGCGCCGGCGGTGAAGGATGACACCCAACCATCATTGTCTCCCGGGACGAACACAAAGGTGGACGTCTGCAGGAGCGTGGGATAGTCGGATAGTGCCGAAGCCAAGGCGTCGAAATATTCCTTGTACTCTATGCTGCCGCCGCTACCACCCCTAGCAAGAACAGCATGCTGCGTGAAATTCCCCGTGACAACGAAGGTCATGGGACTTGAGCCTTCGGGCTCAGCTGCATATATTGCGAGTATTCTCCGCAAGGCCTGCAACGTCCGTGGTTGGTCGAGGTTCAATTCGCCGATGATCACCATCCGCCCCCTGCTGGGCACCTCCTCGGCAGAGTGGCGGGGCAGTAGCCGCTGCTCGAGCTTCCGCATCTTAGATCCAACGGCTCGTTCGCTCCCGACGCCGAGAAAATCGATCCAGCCGAGTCCACCTCCTATGGTGTGATCCTGGCCGCCATCGGGTCCGCTCACTCCTAAAGTTGCTCTCCTCTTCTCGCATGGGGGTTGACCGATGAAGAAGCCTTGGAACCTGCCACCTAGTGTTCCTCCGACACCGCTGCTACCACTCAGCCCCTTACCGACGGACTCCTCTTCCTCCTCGTAAACACCGTCTACGAGTACAATCATTCCAGGGGCGAACCAGGCTGAATCTTCGGGAATTGCGACAGCTTGTGATACGTCTAGGGCAATAGTGGCAGTCAGGTCGCTAATCGCGAGGCCTCCAGCAGGTAACACATTCAACATGCCCAAAAGCATGTGATGGCTACCGTGACGACCTAAGAGATTGGCGATTGGGGTGATCTTATGGTTTAGTTGGTTTGATGACGATCGTTTGCCCGAGGGGGCCCTCGTGCTTGCGACAGCCGACGTCTGGAAAGACTCATTCCTGAGCAGTCTTTGGTGTATGACATTGTACCTGTTTCTGAACAGCGCAGTTTTGTGTGATGCTGGCGGCAGGAGTGACGGTTTTGAGGTTTCCCTGCTCATCGTTAGCGAGTGAGTCCCAGCCTAGGGCAAATCATAGTTCGTACCTCTCGAAATGCTTCTTGGCAACGTTGTAAGAATATCTTGGCTGATCGTAGGCATCGATGACGTTGAACCACTTCCGCGCATCCTTGATACTCTCGTCGTCCTCTTCTTCCTCGACGCCTAGGCTAGACATGCCAAAGCTCTGTTGGCTGTCCTCTCGAGTCAGTGATGCCTGAGCCGGCCGCAAGCCCAGTCTCGCATTTGACATGTCCACATCTTGCCCTGGTTCGATCAGAAGACTATTCTGCCGACTCAAGCCTCTGGCGCCGGCCACGATCTTGCCCCCGCTCAAGTTCCCCTCCAAGTTTTTCAGAATATCCTTGAGCTCCGGGCTTGCGCCATCGACGATAACTCCGCCATTGCGGCTTTTCCATGACTTGGCCACCTCCTCCAGGACCTTCTCTGCGAGCCCTTCCTCTCGCCATGCGGAACCACAATGCCGGCCGATAAACGTAGCCAGTTCTTGTAGGGCGGAGGAGGCAAGGGTCAGGCTGTGTTTCTTTGTGAAGGTACGGAATGCCAGTGGTCGTAGTGTGGCTGGGGGTAAAATTATGGGCAGGATCGCATGTTTCGTCGGCGCTGAAACTTTGAACGGCTTTAAAGGATGGACTGGGGTACCGAATGCGGGCGAGGACGAGGGTATCGCAGAAGATGGAGGGGCAGGCGTCCTTGCGGCAAAGATGTTGGCCATGGGCATCTGCTTGCGCTTGGGAGATATCGACGGTGGCGGATCCATGATGGAGTCTTGTCTTCGTGGTTTGAATTTGATATGGAAACGACAGTGTAACGAGATTCGGGGGTCTTGGTCGCAGTGGCTGTTGTCGCAATTGTCATAGAGTTGTCTTTGCGAGCAGTCGCGGGGGACGCCAAATGTTTAATTGAGACGCGTCCACTTCAGCGAGGCAACGCGTCTTGGTTAATTGGCCGCGCTCTCTTAACCCTGCGCCACAGTCAGCTGAAGTGGGGTCGAATTTGCGATCGCTGTGGCTGAAGCTAGTGGCTCAAGCTCCCTCGACTCTGGGCAGCTGGCATGCTGTCATCGATGGAAAGTCGGAGCTGTCTGCGCCAAAATTCAAAAACGCAAAGCTTCGCGAATGCAAATGCGCCGCGCCTGTCTGTCGCAAATCTCACACCACTATGCTCACAATGTTGGCACCGGTAGCTCGTTTCTTGCCGAGGCATGTCTCTAGGATCAATTTCTTCCGGCCGATGTCAAGCTTGCCGTCCAACCCGCGCATTGTGAGTGCTTGTTTCTCTGGCATGCGTATCGACCTATGCAACTGACCGTTTCTACCACACAGAAAGTTTTCCCTGCGGACGCATCGCGAGCCTCCTTCCTCCTATCCTACCTCGAAGATGAGCCACCGAACCAGAGAACAGCTATTGGCTTCTCTACGACCGACCCCCCGACGCCACGATCGTTTATTGAGAACCAGACCTTTACCAAGATTTTGTACGAAGTCCTTGCCGAGCATGCGCATAAAGACAAGGACCTCTTAGCACAGGCCCAAGCATTTGCTGGGCCTGGCGGAGCCAATCTTGGTTCTGGAGGCGCACTCTTCGCTCAGAAGAACAAGAGGCGTTCGTCGAGCAAGATCGGTGGTGGCGGCGGCGCCGGAGGCGGTGGTGCTGGTGGTGCCAGTGCTCAAGGCGGCGCCGGTGGAGGTGGGCATGGTGGTTACGTCCATCTAAGCGACTCGAGAAACCCTCCAGACTTTGGTCGCATTGCCTGGCCTGAAGATATCCTGGGCAGCGTTGAAGTTGATCAAAGCGGCAACATAATTGGGCAGCTTGAGCCAAGTGGAACGTATCGAATCATCACCAACGAGGGAATGTAAGTTGCGAAACCTTTTGTACAACAAACTGAACAGACAGACTAACACTGGCAGTCTCGGATTGAGTCCCTATCTTTCAGGAAAGCTCATTGAGAGACTTCGCGAGGAGGACGACAAAGACCATTCGTAGTCGCCCCACAAGTGATGAGATACTCTAGAAAACATACAGCTGGTCGGCTTGCTCGCTGTAAAATTGTACACTCATGTAGTACTAGCTCACCACTTTACGACTGCACACATTGACGAGATTCTGTCAGTCGAATTATAGGATGAAGACAAGCTTACGATCTTCGCCGAACAAGTACCGTTCTGAGAATGAATTGCAACATGGGCACAGAAGGGCTGGACGAAGTCTACGCGGGTTTGGAGAACCCACTCGCCTCCACTTGGTCTTCCATTTGGGCAAGGAACAAGCACCCGGCCGGAGGGGATCGTGAGCCTACTCCCAATCCTATAACCTCGGGAATGGAGTTACTGCAGAATCTTTCGTCCTGCAGACACGGTTTCCCCCCACAACCCCGTACTCGACTCCCGCCATATTATGCACATGGACGAAAGGAGCTCGAAAACAGAAGCGGACACATGCACCAGACTCCAGACCGCCGGTTGATGATCTCGGTTGAGTCAGTTCGGGTATGTTTTACCGACAGACCCTGGAATTGGCCATCGATAGTCTTGAAAGATTTTGATCCTCGAGCATTGCATTTCGACATTTTCGCAAGTGGCACGCATACGGATTCTTGGGTCAGAGGGCCGTTGTTCCTCTGGGTGGTAGGATTGATCAGGGTTGTTTAGCCGATAGCGCAGCTGCAGCGCCTTGATCCCTGGGTGGCCTGAGTTGCCGGGCCGTCCAAAAGATGACATGCAGGCGGGCAGCGATGCCAGCGATCCGTTGGGCTCTGCTTCCTTGAGTCAAGAGCGAGGGATTTCTGGTAGCCAAGAGCCCATTCTGTATCGAAGGGTAGTAATGACTGTGTAAGAGGTTCTGTAGCCAATAGCAAAGCGTGTGAAAGTGATACGCTACGAGAATGTGCCCTTGAGCCGACATCTACACTGGCATCAAAATCGAATGTCGCGTGTTATTGCGTGTTATTGCGTGTTATTGCGTGTGTTTGACGCGCTTTAATGTGACTCGAAATCGTGCTGATAAATCACCGGCGAGTAAACTACCTTATCCTGAGATTTGCTTGGTTCAAGGCCAACGAATGAGCAAGTATTGATTTAGTCAGGCGATGTTCGGCAGTTGTGTCTGTCTGTTCTCAGAACGGGCGTAACTATCACGTAGTCATGAGGCTACGTATAGCCACCGACTGCGCTGGTGATGCGACCTGATGTACGAATAGTCGGACCGGCTCACTCAGCAGCATGATTATGAGCTGTCACTTATCAGCAGCCGCCTCACACCGCAGCCTGGGGAAATGAAGTATATGATACCCAAGGCGTGTTGGACTATCTATCTAGCCATTATCTGCTCACCCACCTCAAACTCTACTTGGTCTTCCATGTTGGGCCCAATGGGACGAGAGGTGAGGTGGTGTCAGGAGGATCCTATCAATGACTACATACCATGGGCGCGTACCTATGTACTAAGGATAATAGCAGCACTTCTCGGTATTCTTTTTTGACTAGCCCGATCAACGCGATGGGTATTTGCCCAATTCGCGATGATTCCTTCATCAGGTCGAAGTGAGTAATTATAGCCTGCAGGTCTGTACGGTGTATCCGTACCTAGGCATTGAGGTGCAAAAATGAGGGACGGGACTCATCGAAGCACAGACCACAGGGCACTTTCTCCCCACCATTGCGGGCAAGAGTCGTCGGGTGACACCTGGCATGGGCAGGCAGATGGGAAAGAAGGGGGGGCAGGAAGGTGCAGAACAGCCTGGCACGAACCAGACGAGCCAGGGAGCTTCTTGGCAGCCACTCCACCTCACCATTCCATGTTCCCCTCCACAATCCACATCCAACTTCGTCATGCCCACTTGAGTGTGGTCCAAAGGCTTGCTCCGGCCACAACCCCATTCAAACAAAAACGACCTGAGCCCCCCATCCCCCCCCTCGACCGACAATATGGCTTCCGGTTTCGACGAGGAGGAGCTCCATATCAGTCTCTCGCCCTCCCAGATCCGACGACGCTCCCAGCAGCACGGCGCCGCCTCCGATGCTGCCGCCTCCGCCGCCGGCCGTCACGAACTACAATCCGGTGCAGTGAATATCGCCAACATGGGGCCGCCCGTCGATACCACCGCCCCGCTGCGGGAAAAGATCAAGACGGAGCAGCGCATCGGCGCCTACAAGATCATCAAGACCCTGGGCGAAGGCTCCTTTGGAAAAGTGAAGCTGGCTATCCACAATGGTACCGGCCAGCAGGTCGCTCTGAAGATCATCGCGAGGAAGAAGCTCATTAGTAGAGACATGGCTGGCCGCGTGGAGCGCGAAATCGAGTACCTCCAGCTGTTGCGACATCCTCACATAATCAAATTGTATGTCACATATCCTAGATACCCCTCGCCCGCTGCAGACCTGTCACTGACCTGACTCGGCACAGATTCACTGTTATCAAGACCCCCAACGAGATCATCATGGTCCTTGAGTATGCAGGCGGAGAGCTTTTCGACTACATAGTGCAAAATGGCCGGATGAAGGAGCCCGAGGCGCGTAGATTCTTCCAACAGATGCTATGCGCCGTCGAATACTGCCACCGACACAAGATTGTGCATCGAGACCTGAAGCCCGAGAACCTTCTTCTGGACGATAACCTCAATGTCAAAATCGCCGACTTTGGTTTGAGCAACATTATGACGGACGGAAACTTCCTCAAGACAAGCTGCGGTAGTCCCAATTATGCCGCGCCCGAAGTCATTGGCGGCAAGCTTTACGCTGGCCCTGAGGTGGATGTATGGAGTTGTGGCGTGATTCTTTACGTCTTGCTGGTGGGCAGACTTCCCTTTGACGATGAACACATCCCCAGTCTCTTCGCAAAGATTGCACGCGGCACATACAGCATACCGCAGTGGATGAACTCTGGTGCTGCAGGCCTCATTAAGAAGATGCTGGTCGTCAACCCCGTGCAACGTGCTACCATTGATGATATCCGTCAGGACCCCTGGTTCATGACTGACCTGCCGCCTTATCTGGCGCCGCCGGTCGAGGAGTTCTTCAACACAGGCGTGGACCCTAACAAGGCCATCCAGAAGAGTGACATTGCCCCCAATGCTCCCTCTAGAGTTCAGGAGAAGTTGCACAACGAGGTCACAGAGAAGATCAGTAAGACTATGGGTTACGGAAAGCAGGACGTAGAGGAGGCCTTGCAGGCTGCGGAGCCATCGGCCATTAAAGATGCATACATGATTGTTCGCGAGAACAAGCTCATGCAAGTGAATGGTACGTATCTACCAGCGAGAGTTTTCCCGCGTGTTGAACTTCGTCTAACCTTTCAACAGAGGCCATGTCATCGCTTTCAGTAGATCAAGATGGCTCTAGCAGTCCACTCCCAAGTGCGTCTTCCGCGAGGTCGGGTGGTTCAACAGTCGGTGGACAACGACCCTACATCAGCAAGATCGGAATCCTGCCGAGCAGTCTACCAAACTACCATAAGGAGTACATGGAGCGTGAAAAGGCCGGCCCCGAGGACCATCCAGCGCCAACGATCGTCGTCAACGAACCAGGCTCATCTCGCACGGATGCAGAAAGGGAAGAGACGGCAAGGCACCTCAAGCCTCACTCCAGGAACAGTCAAGTCAGGCTCGACGATTCCAGCAAACGGCCACAAGGCATGACACCAGTCGTCCAGGCGAAGAAGACCAAGCCTGTGAGGTGGCAATTTGGTATCCGCTCGCGTAATGCGCCTTGGGAAGCCCTCTTGTGTATTCACAAGGCCTTGAACAAGCTCGGAGCGACTTACGTGCCAGACGAAGACTATGAGAAGGTTCACGGCACTGAGGCTGACCAACCTAGCAACGACGGTAGCTTCGTCGAGGAATACGTCCCTCAAGGGGCTAATGTTTCAACTAGCAGTATTGATCCTCTCAAGAGGTATAAACTACCAGCCGACCCTTGGCATATCAAGGTCCGGTGGGAGACGTCAAGTAAGTGTTAACATACTTCGTGATCTGCGAAGATTCCACTGACCAGACCACAGCACTGCATCAGGCCTCAGGAACTCCCACGGAGGGTAGCAAGACTCCAGATAGCTTTCACGTCGTTGGCGATGACGAGGGCAAGCGAGACTTTGTAGCTTTGCACGTGGACATCCAAATATACGAGATGGAACACGGCGTCTATCTCGTGGACTTCAAGTGCTCTGGATACGAAACAGCCGACAAGAGACTACTCGAAGAGAAGGATGTCACAAGTCCTTTCCCTTTCCTAGATATGGCTGCTAGGTTGATAATGCAACTAGCCGAAGCAGACTGAAGATCCGTCTTGGTTGATCCGTTATCCCTCGCGGGTGTTTTCTTCCCTCCGTTTTCTTCAGGGGTTTAACTTGGGAAGTACTTTGAAAACGGTGGGCTCAGCGATAGACATGGGAAGACATGCCGATCGATCGGTCATGTCACAGCGTCAGGTTATGCGAACAAGGGAGTTTTGGTACGGCGGAGAGGAATGGTGTGTGGTGTTCTTTTTGGTTTCTTTTGAGGGGGTCAGTACCCAGCGGCAGCGGGAGGGCGTGGCTCGGATCCAGTCGTCTCAGCTGAGGCGAAATGGCATCGTATGTTTCCCCACCACCATGTCGAGATCTAGAGGACATCGGGTTGTACTCGAAACGAGGCGTGGGGGTGAATTAGACACACTATTTTGCATCACGAATAGGAGTTGAATTCCACAAGCATCATATCACCACGGCGCGACTACGGCATCATTACGAGAACTATGTTCATCTCGGAGACCAACTCGAGCCCGAGACCCCTTACAGCCAGTGCATCAATCGGCGGCCACGGCACCGAGGCAGAGCCTCACGACTTTGAAAGACCGGGACGAACGCACCACAAAGTCTAAAGCTCCAAAGCGCAAAGGCGGCGAGGATCTTGCCTCAAATTGGCAGCCAGCTCCGTGGTGTGTGTCCTAGAGTCGATCATCACCTTCACAGACCTTGGGATCCCGCACTCTAGATCGAATCGAAATACCGTATAGTTGCTGACCCCTCGGGCGTGTTTTAGCAGAGCCTCATGGAAATGAGCGCCAAGAAAAGGATTGAACTATAAACTTTGGAGACTCCCCCCCAATTGTACACGGGTGACGGGGAGAGAAGGCAAAAGTCGAGACCGAATCCTTTTCTGCTCAAAGCAGAATCCAGCTCCGTCCTGCAAGTCCTGTGCGGTGTGCCACGAGAAAGTCAAAAAAGAGGAAGGCCAGCGAGCAGGGAGACAGGCAGCGGCATTGGACCCTGAAAGGGGCAAGTGTCAGTTTCAACGAACCATGACGGCGATTCTCTTCCAGCAGGTGGGTGAATGTTTATTCGCCCTGGAAGGAGGCCCTGGACACTGGACAGAAGCCCTGGATAGGAAAAGGCCCCCCCGCCCACGGGACTCGGATCTTAGGACGTCGCGGACCACTTCAGACGATACACTCCGGAGCTCGGGACGGAACTCCAGACGAGACACACGGAATGGGGGGGTTTGATTACGTACGTCCCTCCTGTGCCGAAGGTGGGATATTGACAACGACGACGACGACGACGACCACGTCGGCCACCACCGCCACCATCATCCCGCCGACCGAGGGCGCTTTTAGGCGAGTTGTAAGTTCGGTGGGGATTATGGAGCCCTTTTCACGGCAACGGTCGATAATCTCCGGGACAGCCGGTCTTTGCCATCCCGCCGGAATGCGATTGAGAAACCGGCATACCTACCTTTTGCATGCGAGTCGCGACCTGCCTTGCTCACACGACCCAATACCGAACGTGGAGATGCCAAGCAGTGGGACGCGGGCGCTTGGCACCGAGGTCTACACTCCGTACTGAGCTCATGGATACTCTCTGTCTCTCTTTCGCTCTCGAGGTTCGGAGGAATAATTACCTAGCTAGCTTCGACTTCGGCTCTTGAGGAAACTTTCTGCCTTGGATCGAAAAAAGAAAAAAAATTTGGCGTCGATAGTAGCCGTGGTAGCAGCCGCAGCAAGCAGCATTGATCAAGGCAGGGCGCCTGCTTTTGTTCGTCTTAGTCTTAGTGATGCTGACAATATCACAACTTACACGTATTCCTGCTGCCGCGCATCGCGCAACGCGGATCACGGACTTCTCGCCGTTCAATCTATATCCAAGCCAACGATCATCGTCCGTGTCCGTGTATCCATACTATGGTACTACCGTAGTGTCCCCTTGGCCCCCCCTCCTCGAGGGTCCATCCAGTGCAAGATTTCCCAGGGAAACAATGGTCGCAACTCTGCAGTTAAGGATGACACCCAGCCGATATCAGGTTACTAAAAATGGTCAAAAGGAGGGATGAGCCCGGGACGGGAAGGGGGCGAAGGAGCAAGCAAGTGAGGGCGGGAAAGGGGCACGGAGGGGTAGGGAGAAAACACCGGATGTAAGATTTACAAAGTCACCGAAGATCAGGACAAGGACCAAGGGACGACCGAGAAAGCGACGAAACGTGCTCTATACTTTGCCCTTTCTCACTTTCTTGGCCACAGTTACCGACTATCATTACGCCATAATTACGAGTTTTGCAATTTCGGAGTCCCTTTCTCCATTCTCATCCCCCTCCCCCCTAAACCTTGTCTCCCTTTTCTTCTTCTGTGACCGCATCGTCAGATCGAAATTTAGAGTTTTGGTTCTCTTGGTTGGTTCATCCCGCAAAACCAAGCCCTTACACCACGCGCTGGGGACCATTCGAAACGCAAATTCAGACAATTGCAAGACGCCGTGGAATACTTGGAATAAGGGGTTGGTTAGGGTTCAGGTTCAGGTGCCGTGTGGCGGTGGCGAAGAGGGAAAGCCAAAACCAAAACTCGACACTTGCTTGAAAGTTGTGATGGAAATGAAGAAGGGTTTCCCTAGCAAACGAGCTCAGCCCATAGGAGAGAAAAACGCAAACCGTAATGTTTCTTGTTCCCTCTTTCGTTTTGGCCCCATGCTTGTGCGGCGTTGGAGACAAACCGAACAAGTCGTAGTCTCTTTGATTACCCATCTCTGACTACAAAAGTATATGACCACTATAACCAGATTTATAGTTTAGTTGGACTCTTCAGCTCGGTTGCGCTGAAAAAGAAAAAAAAGGGCACTACCCCGCGATGATGAAGGAAAAGGACAAAATAGTTTCTGCCCACACGCCCCTACAAGTCCCCTAGTGTACACACAGTCCTCTCCCCTCATCCTCAACTCTTGAAGCCATCTCTCTCCAAAAAAAGATCTAAGCATTCATCTTCCGTTCTCAAAATCGCCTAGGCAAGCTTACAAGTCGTATCCTTTAAGCAGATGTTGTTTTGACAACCGGAATCTACTCCGGAGAATTATTGTTCGTCCAAACAGCCCTCTTCCATGCCACACCCCCCTTAAGACTAAGGCAGATAGCCCGGCCATTTTTGATGACAAGACAATAAGGCATTGCTAGTTCCTACCACACTTAGTTACGGCCGTACGCGTGTACTCTCTCCCCATGCTCAAGCTCACGCCCCCCCCTCTCCGCTCCCCCAAATATCATAGCTACAACGGCCCTGAAATGCTCACTCTCCCTTCTCGTTATGCCCTTGAACAAGTTGAACCTATACGCCCCTTATCAATCCAGCAATAATTAGACTCTGATAGTGCAGCACGGCACGGAATCCTCCAAGCCATGGTAGAACCGCCCACGCCCCGAACAAGATCCTGTGAACAAATATCAAGAACGCATGCTATACTTTTCCCAAAACCTTGCTTGGTCCTTTCTCCACGCCTCCCCCTCACCACCACTAAACCTACTCACGCCCCCCTTGTCTTTCTTCCCCTCACCGTCGAGCATCATCTCCAAATATTTGAACGCCTCACAAGCAAGATCTCCCCCCCCCTTTGCCTGCCTGCCGGTTTTTGCCCGTCGTGCTACTTATGCTGTGGCACGGTTGGGGGAAACAACCATGGTTTAGGAATGTGGGAAGTGGGGCCAAGTGCAAGGGCAGATTTTCTTCCTGACTTGACACATCTTTTCTTGATGAAATGGAGCGAACAAAGGGAATTAAGGTTTATATCCCACATTCAGGTTTTTTTTTTTTCCTTGTGTTATTACTTCACCGCCGCAAAAGAATTGACTCAACTGTCTGCGTTGGTTATGGGATGGAAAGAAAAAAACAAATGTCATATCCATTCCTTTCTGCCCGTGTGTCAGAGCAAGGGGGCAGGGGGCAGAAGGATCACATCGACCTGAAGTCCGCATTCAAGTCCTATGACACGGAAAGATGTGCTCGTTCGTGGTGTGGGAAGTTTACTATCCCTCTTTTCCACTTGCCTTTTTGATTTTATGGCCCTTGACACGTAAATTGAGCCCAAGACCTGCGCGGTCAAAACTATAATCTCTCCCTTGTTTAATGATTTTCCCTCTCAGCATTTTGCCCAATCTATCTGCCCGTCCGACCACAGTCTTTTTAAATCTTGGACGAGCCGCGTGGACCAAAAAATAAAAAAAAAATAGAAAAAAAAGTTAAACCAAAAGATATGGCAATGAAAGAGAGAAAAAAAAAAAGAGTTTAGTTGCACGGTCAAAAGAGAGGCTTGAACCATCAAACCAAAGCCCCAAAGCTCCCCCGTCCTAACCGATTTTGGACTCTCGTATACACAACTTGAAGGTTTTGTCAGTTTTGTGCAAACTTTGGGTGTTTTTTTTTTTCATCTGTACGTTCGCAAAGTGCGAGTGCGAGCGGAAGGACCCTCGTCGTCGTCCTCGTCATCAACAGTTCCCTTGATTTTCCAAATCACCTCTCCAAAGAAGACTTAAACTCCAAAAAAGCCTATTATTAAAAGATTTGACTCGGCTGACAGAGACGAAGCGAGACCTAAGTGAACAGTGACGGGGGGAAGCAGCAAGTAAGAAAAGAGCTTTGACAGTTGAGTTGCCTGCCCGCCCGCCCGGACGGGATGAACATGTCAATCGGCAAATGTCATGCATCTCAGCGCCCGCACAATTTTTTTAAAAAAAATTTTGCCTTGCCAGTCAGAGCCCAACGCTTCTTCTACAAAAGTAAGTAGGTACTCTGATTACGCATCTTTTCCGGGGTTCGGTTGATGATGTCGATCGATCACTCCCCTCCCCTCCCCCATTTGCATTTCGTTCACTGCATTTTTGGGACAACATTGAATAGGCGTACGCTAGATATGGAGGGGGCATTGAAGCAAAAATACACTACACCCCTGAAGCCTTGCGCTTGCATCTCAAATGACCGTTTATTTTTTTTTCTTCTTCCAATCTTGCCCTCTTTTAGGGGTATGCCGCGAGACTATCCTCCGTGGTGGTGGACGGCGCCTTCGGAAAGAGATGTTTGCCAAGGTGGACGGGATAGCTTCCCTCCCTCTGTAGGGGACTTTCGTAGAGAGTACTTGGAGGGTGTGTATATCAAAGAGATACACAGACGCATACCTAGAATGAGGCAGAGAGAGAGAAAGTGTTTGTGTGGCTTGACTTGTCAATGATGACTACAACCCACCAAACGCAAAGGAGGCTAGAGCAAGAACGCCAGAGATGCGGATTTCATGTACGCGCCCCTTTTGGTAATTAAGGTTTCCCACCTGTGGCCCGTCCCACACTCTTCTTTGCTCCCCTCCGACCCTCCTCGGGGCACACACGCCTCGTGCTTCGTTTTGCTGTGTCATCGATACCTACCTGTAGCGGTAGGTAGGTACGCTTGCTTCTACACGTACCGTACTTTTCTCCAAATTTCATCTTCCTCTTTACCGTCCCGTCCTATTTTCCTCTACTCCGTCACACCCAAAGGGCATATGCCTAGGCCATGTACGGCATGGACCAGGAAAACGCCAGCTGTCACACCATCTACCCGATACCCCTTTCAGCGTTTTGGTTCGTTCGGTACTCCATAGTCCAATCTGTAGTAGGTATTCGTGGTTTGGTCAGTTCTCTCTCCTGCGACAACTATCAGAATATGGCTAGGTAATCGTTGCGGTGTGCATGTAACTCCGTACTCTCTCTCTCTCCTCTGGAATGGGCCTTGACCCAATGGCTGAAAGTATGTATGCAAGTTCGCACATCGATGCCCCATGGCAAGCTGTGCTTCACGACGGCGGGCTCAATAGGGCACTGTACCTAACGTGCCGTTGAGCCATATCACCACACCCCCTTGGGCAGCTGAACCGTCTGAATGGCAGAGCAACCTACCGCAGCATCAAGCAGCGGTCGGTCATGATCGGTTGACAACTTTGACACTGGCATCGGCACATCGGCACCGACACCGGCAGTAGCAATTCGCATGGGCGGTCGTTCCATTATCGTCGATTCGCTTTGCACCGATATCACGTCCGCCCAGGTGCTTCGCATCGAGCCCATCAGGCGACAAGGCACTATCTGTTGCAGTGTTGCTGTCGCCGCCGCTGCTGCTGTGCCTGACCTATTCGTACCTTGCCATGCCGCATGCGTGCCTACCCAGCAGCCTGTCGCCGCCCCCCCCCGCATGCCCGAGGCCATGCTTCCTGCATGAGATGCCTCACCTTGAAGCAAGGAAGAGAGAGTGAGAGAGAGCCCACGTATCTTCGTCCCTTGTAGAGTTTACCCCTTGCTTGTGTTGTATGGCATCAGCAGGCTGCAGCAGCGGCGGCGGCAGAGCAGGCAGGCCCTCTCGCAGAACGCAGTATCGCGGCATCGCCAAGTTTTCCAAACGTACCTGAACCTAGAGGCTTTCCCCCCGTTCAATTCCGTAGGGAAGTCAAAATAACTGCACATGGCCGAACCGGCCTAACCCCGGTTTGCAGGCTGCAGGACAGGACCAGCATCGCAGCAGTGTTCCCAAGAAACCTTCTAGAACAAAACATACGATCGAACAGTGCCCAGCGCAACCGCAGCATATGCTCTTACAACTTCACGGAGCTTCTTTAGACTTTTGACTTTTCGGTTCTCCAGTTTCTCCAGTCGGGCGTGTGGGCGGCCTGGCAGGTCCAGCTGGTGTCTCTTGTCTGAGTTGTCTCTCTCTGACAGTACCAAGTCGGTCTTCGCCTATTTGAGTTCGACTCTGCCTCAAGCTTCCAATCTGGCCTCGCCGAGCTGCCTCACACTCGCCGAAGCGCCCCGTAACAGTATGTATCCGTATGCTGCGCCGTGAAGGAGGGTTCGTAAGGTATGTATGGCCTTGTGATGTTGACCATAATCACCTGCCCCGGCCCTGTATCCCGCTGACTGGCATACACATGCCGGCCCGGTGATGTACGGTGAATTCGTACCGATACATCTACAAGACGCACGATTTCTTTCACACCACAGATCCCCCCTCCCCCCCCGGCCAACGTCGACTCCGCTGACCTCCGCGCTTCGCGTTACGTACTGCGGTACGCTCCCGTGCGGTGCGTTGCGGTGCGTTGCGAATCCATGGGACAAGAACGGCACAAAGAGAGACCCGCATCTGCACCCACGGCGGCTCTAAACCTTCTTTTCACTGCCCACCCGAGCCCCGGGCCTGGGGCTGCTCATAGGCTCGGAAAGGGCGTGTAAATGGGGTCACCACCCACTGGGAGATCTTCTATGGGGACGACAAGTCTTGATATCATCCTCCAATCATCGCCCCCGGTTCACCTCAACTTGGCAGTTGATGTGCTCTCTAGGTAGAACTTCTGCTATTTGTCGTAAGGGTACCATACCAGAATGGGGGGTGTGTGGGCGTGAGTCAAGTACCGTACTCCATAACACAACCACACAACCAAGAGCCAGGCCTGTCATGGAATGTTGGAGGAAAGCTTGGCCATCTTGGTCGGTTAATGGGCGACAGCGCCAAGGAAATCCAAACCGATTCTTGCGAAAAAATAGTCGCGAACTACGAGTACGAAGACACGAGGCGCGTCCCACTCTTGGAGCTTGCGGCCAAGCCAACCGCCAACCGCCAAAGCGGCTCCCACGAAGACTTACTCGCTGCGACCTTGCCATTCCTGTACAAGAGGCGGCCGCCCCGTAGCGTGGTATTTTCGACTGGAGACCGCACTACCGTGATCGATCGCCCGGGCACCAGGTTCGATGGGGAAGCGCGCAGCAAAGGCAACTGAGATGGTAAGCAATGTTCCCAAAGCTTATCTACGACGGAATGGACATCTGAAGATTATAGAGTTTATGGAGGATGGATGCGAGTGCGCGTAGTGTCCGAGTGAAGGTGAGAGCGAGTGAGTAAGATTGAGGAAGAAGGAGACCGGTAATCGCTAATCGGTGGCCAAGGCAAAAGGAATATTAAGGTTTCCTAATGGTGTCTTTGTTGTTGTATATCGACGATCGCCATGGAGCTCCACGGCGATGACCCCTATTTTCGTTACTCGAGATGCGAAAAAAGGAGATGGTGTGGGAATGGAACTGGAACAGACCGATACAAGCGCCACACGCCCCTCCATGGTTTGTCATTCCCGCGTCCTCCTCTGAGCTTTTCCGTGAGGCGTGCGGCGTGCCGTGCGTGCGTGCTTGAGGAGGGTCCCTCTCTCCCAGACTGCCGGGCTTCCAGTGATGTATGAGGCTTGGATCGAGCGCTTGCAAATCTCATTAGGCTTTCTGTCCAAACGTGTTGTAGCTGCTGAGAGGCTGGTGCGGCGCGCTAGCCTCCCTCACTGCTGGGAAAGCCGCGTAACTGCGTAATCTGCGTATCGTCTGTGGTTGTTGTGTTTTGGACAGCCGTCTCGACGGGCACGGGATGGAATTGGAGGAATGATGAGATGGACGACAAATCTGCCCAGGTGGAGCATATCGTCCGGGAAAGGCAGTTCCCTCCAAGACCCCCCCACATTACACCGTAGGCGAGACAGAATATGGGAGTTGAGACTTGCCGTGGGGTTTTTTGGGGTCTTTTTAGACTTTGGTAGTGCATGACATGCCTTCGAGCTCTCGCACAGGGACTGGTTCCCGTACGAGAAGGAGGAAAAGATGAACAGTCAGTCACCCTCCAACAAGCTCCCCTAGCAAAGAGTGGAATTAGCATGAAAGGTTGCAAGGAATGGCCAACAAGGACGGAAACATTGCTGGTCTCGAGATCATACAGTACCATAAGTACTTGGTATTGGCACTCCTTGATCCTGCCAGAGCGCGATGCGATGTAACTCAACCTGCCACCCAGATTCGCTGTAGATCGCTGCCGGGGAAAGGGGAACGAGATTTGGCAGGCGCGCTGTAAAGATTATCCCGAGGGATGTAATTGTGGGCTGTGCTAACTCTATTCCTCCCTGCCTTGCACGCCTGGCAGCAGACTGTGTTGTCGTTCAGGCTGGTCTCTGGCTGGCTCTGGCTCTGGCTGGCAGGCTGGCCTTTGGCCCTTGCTTTTCCATCTCTGTACCCCGGTCGAGCAGGCTGCACCGAAACATGGCTGATCGGTTCGTATGGTGGACCGCGTACGAATACACTACACTAGACCGGGGGTGAGAAAGGGGGGGGGGGAGATGGATGACCGGGGGAGATGACGGCTATGTCGCCGTTTGCTTCTAACCCCGAAAGTTTAAAAACCAAATCCCGATTCGACAACCTTGCCAACTTGCCAACCGCAGTGTAAAGGTGAAAGACACTTTCTCACCTCTGCCACAAGCGGCTAGCAGAGCTGCCAGTGCACTTGGGCCAGCTCAGTAGTGCTAGAGTAGCCTGAAGCCTCCCGTCCTTTCGTCCGTGCAGCTGGTCGGTGTAATCCGGAGTCCGACATGGCATGTTTGTCCATGTCTGTTCAGCACCTGCTCACGGCTGTTCTTGAGTGCCCTATACTAGTCTCTTGGAAGTTGAAACTTGAGAGCCTTCACCTGTAACTAGTGCACATTTGCCGATCTTAATTGGCTTCCCCTAAAGGGTTTGAGACGGTCAAAACCTTCTCACGGCCATCGGCAGACTTTTCTTCGTCGGAGAGCACCGTGTTGTTGCTTGCTCTCACTCTCCTTGTATATAGCTCCACGTCACGTGCCCCGTCCCGGCCGCCGCTGAACCGGAAGACCTGCCGAGTAGTGCCAAATGCTGAGCTGCTCTTCATATCTGCCGGCATGTTGAAGACTGCCGTGCCGTTCCGGAACGTCGAGAGTTTGGAAGTCTTGTATTGGCTGCTTTGTCCCTGCCTGTTGCGGGTTGGGTTATTGTAAGCCTCAAGCCCGGTCGGGTATACACCGACACCTTCGACTTCCAACCTCAATTCTTGGAATAGTGTTGCGTCCAGGCTCAGGTCACCGTTCGCTGACATGTTGGCAGTTTGATTGACGATCAGCGGGTACGAGTATGTTGACTTGTATGTGCCCATGCCCGTCAGTTCGTCTGTCCCGGTGATGATGAAGTTATTGAAGCCATTGCGACCAAATTGGCCTAGCGTCGCATTGTTGGTGTACGACAACTTTTGAGTCCACTCAGGGTTCTTGGTCCCTTTCTTGGAGACTACCTCGCCTTTGACAGAGATCATCCTCGTCACATCCAGATTGAATGCAAGAGTTTCGTTGGCGCCTGTAGAGTTCTTTCCTAGGGCACGACCAGTGATTTTGATATCAGGGTCGGAGATTGATACAGTAGGCGGTTTCCCAGTCGTGATAGAGCCCTCCTCGTCTAGCCATAGAAAAACTTTGCCAGAGACAACCCAAAAGTTGCCAACGGTGGTATTCACAATTGTTTTTTGCCCGTCATCCGCGAGGCCGGCGACTTTGATCTTGAATGTGTGCTCCTTGCCATCACTTAAGACCGGGAGCCATGGCGAGATGTCGATCTCATGCTCTCGTAAATCATAAGCGTCGAGACCTACGAGCGGCCGGTGAAAGCTGGGAACGACGCCTCCAGTGAAAATAACAGGGAATGGCCATTGTACCCCGGCTAGCTGGTCATCAATGATGACTTGCACCTCACGCCACGGGCTGCCATCCGGAGCCATACCGACGGTGGCATTGAATGCTGCAGCATCGCTCTGAAGGACATTGCTCCACCAGAATTCCTCGGTCCCTTGGCCATTGGCCGAGACGGAGAAGACTGCTCGATTGGCATTGCGCGGAAATTTGACAGTGCTCACGGCTTCACGTTCAGGCACTAGCCAGGCACTGCCTGTGTTGGAAGACGCGTTCCGTGATGATATGGGGATGATGTGGTCAGCCGGGGGTGCACTGTCGGTTTCGACGTCGCTTTTGAAAAAGGTTGCGGTCAGGGTGCAGTTGAAGGGGCCCGTAAACATGTCGTCTTGGCGGCGCGTTAGCCGTTTTGGCCCCCACTCCGAAGTCTCCGAAGGAAGGATTCGGGTATGGCAGGTCACTTGGTTTTGGAGCCTGGAAGAACTGGGATACGGGACATGGGCTTACCGATGAGGTTGGGCAAGTCGAAAATGATCTTCTGAGGAGTCTTCCAGAGACTAAGATACGGGGTCATGTCTTTCCAATAGGTCCAGATGATTCCGGGCGGCGCTCTGGGCTCCGCAGTGGATGTTCTCCATACCTCCGTGTCGCCGAGATACAACAAAGCCAGCCGATCCAGTTGGCGGCCTGCAGAGGTGGCGGTAAAGTTTACAATGACGCGGTTGAAGTCGCAGCCAGGAGGTTTGTAGTCGCCTATCAACTCCAAGTCAGGATACCTATTTCCGGGTTATCCACCACGCATTTGATTTGCGTCGGTGGTGGTGTGATGAGAATGCCATGCCACTTACCGACGAAGGGCTTGCCAAAGCTGTTACCAAAAGAGTGGTCCATCAACTGCACCTTGCAGTCTTTGGGGTCCGTCGCCGGAGATTTACCCTTGCCATCATCAAAGCTGCCCGTCAACGCCTGGTAGACGGGGCCTTTGGGACCCAACACTGGCTGGGCGACTTGAAAACAGTCGAGCGGCTTCTGCTGTTGGCCGCCCTCTGCATCTAGCAAAGTGCCCATTGGCGCCGGAGTATCGGCAATAATTCCCTGCTGGCGGGTGACATAGTCTGACAAGGCCGCCGCTGGAATCAGATTACGTGAAGCCACGTAGCCCGTGTTCAGTACGAGAACAAAGAGAGACAAGGCAAGCGCCCGACTGACTGGCCGAGGGGCCATCGTGGGGCCCTGTAGAAGGTTCAGGCTCGACGCCTCACTCTGCAGCCTTGAGGCCCTTCTGCCCTATGTCTCTGGGTTGGGTACGGTGCGTTTCTGGTGGTTGGTGTCAGAAACCGCGTGACGGAAGAGTAGGTGTGAGCAAAACGGCGCATCGAGTAAAGCCACCAAATCCCAGAGGGTCGGGCAGGGAGAGGAGGAGTGGGGAAGCATGGGGAGGAATGCGAGCGAACCCGGTGAACGCCACTCAAAGGCAAACATGAGGAACAAGCGCCAGTGCAAGCAGCTGAGAGGCACTAAGAAGTAGGCGGCGCCATGCGCCAGACGAGATTTGGTAAACGAAGAGACGGGATACAGTACGTAGATCCGCATCTATTGGGAGTATAACGGTCTGGGCGGCTGGCTGGCAAGGGAGCGGGGAGGGCTGTAGGCCGAACCACAATTGGCTTGGTCTCTGATGCTTTGTGGACGTACCTTGCCTGCTGCTTACTGAGATGATGATATGGCGCCGAGGCGGTAAACAAGGTGTCAAGATGATGCGGTGGAATAGATACGACAATCCGCGCGCGCCGCCGAGGCAGAAAGCGAGAATGTAGAGGTAAACGCCGCTACGAGACGATCCAACCCCAGCAGTGTGGGTGATGATTGGCAAACGTGGAGTGCCGTCCAAAGGTAAAAAAGACCGCGAGCTGTGCTATGATGTTGAATCCGATCAAATGAGCGGTAGACGGAGTCGGTGAGGAACAGATCCAATGGTCAGAGGCTAAGACCCAAAGAAAGGATTTGTCTGGACAGCCAACGAGCGGGCGGAATTGGCTGAAGTAAATGTAATGGACAAGTCCGCCGCTGTATCCGGGAAAAGGTACAGCACTAGAGTGAAGCCACCATTCGATATTGAGTTATGCTTTGACGAGGCTGTTTCGCGAGGAGGACGAGCTGGCGGAGAGCAAATCACAGATGGAAGAGCTGCTGGGGCTGTTGTCGTGTGTCTGTGTCTAATGTGTATCAGCTTTCCCTTTCCTCACTTGCTAGGTAAGTTTCCTTCCGCCTGCATTCTTTCAGCTTAGGTACCTGGCTCAAACCATGAGGAGGAAATTAATGCCGGACTTGCGGTAGGAGCTTTCTTACACCTCCGCGAGAGAGACCGGAAGGAGAGAGGGAGAAAATCAAGCGGACAGGAAGGAGGAACACCCGACGGGAAAGAAGGGCAAGAAGCCAAAAAGTCTGAACCTTCTCAAACAAACTGGTGGCTGCTTTGCGGCAGGAGCATAGAGCTCTTACAAGTTACAGGTGCTTTCCTTGCTGGATATCCTGTTCTATCACCAAATCGCACACTCCGTAGCTGCCAGTCCATGCAAGCCAAACAAAACGCCGAATAACCTTAAACGCGCAGGAGCGCAAGAACCAGCCCGGGATTCAAGCTGACCTGAGGCAACCACCCACCCACCATAAATGACCACAGCCTTTGCGCCTGCCTTCCTTTCCGAAATCAGAGTACCTACCAATTATCCGTACAGACACACGATCTGGGAAATGCAAATTATTTCAGGAAATCAATGACTACCACATTATCCGTATTGAAGGGATCATCGCCAGGCACGTTCATGGATTTCAGTCACAAGGAAGATATCTGGTCAAGTAAATGTTGATGGTGAATGAATAACATAATTGTTTCTCCAGTGTTTACACTGCCGTCCGGAATGTCACCGTCTGGAGTATGTCTATGATACATGAAAAGTACAAAATGCCATGTCGCAAGTATCATGTTTGTGTGAATAAGAATGAACACGAATAGAATAAAAAAGGAATTTAGCCTACGCCAAAAGTGCAACTCGAAAACGTGTGATGAGATCACACTTGCCCATCTCTTCTCCGGCGATCGCCCCATGATTGCTTTCCCTCCGCACTAAGACATCTGTACATCGCCGCTCATTCTCGACAATAATCCCAAAGTTTAAACTGACACACAGTATTGCCCATCATCCGTCTGGCCCGCGCGGTCCCCGATCCAAGACACTTGACTGGCACAAATCCACTGCAAAAGTGAAATGATACCATACTTTGTCGTGTCGTGGCAGCGTCTTAGCGGCTCTTCACGTAGGCGCCTCGAGCGCTGGCCAAGCCACACTTGGAGGAGCGAGGAAAAGGGTGTGAGGGGGGCAGCAAAGTAATACAATGCCGCCGGTGGCTTGAGTGGCTATCGGCAACCAGTGATCCGAAACCAACCAGTCGTCCCTTAGACACCGCCAGTCCAAGTCGTCTCAACTCGAAGCGATGATGCCGCTGCCAGGCCAGCCGTGCGGTAGGACATGCTTGACCGTGGCATAGTATCATCGCTGTGCGAGTTGCTGCAGCGCTTGTCGTCCAAGTGACATCCATACAACAGCGGAGCGGTCGTTCGATGTCTGTGCAAACGTGCTCTCGCAGTGCTGTAGAGGCGCTAAACGATGACCAGTCAGTCATGCAGTTCAACGTCTTCGCATGCTCGCTTGCTTCGGAAGTTTAGCGAGCCACCAAAAGGCTGAGGCAACCTGAACCGAATGGTAGGCAGCAATATGCTGATGCATGTCGCAACAGATATCCGCATGCCTGCATTCGACTCAAGACATTGAACCAGGCTGTAGGTTCACTTTGTCTCGTACACCGGGATTCTCGATGAGTCCGCCCGTGGATTGCTGGCTAGATCCCGGGTCCGAGTTGCCTGCCGGAGCCTTTCCCATTCTCTTCCCTCCTAGCCAAGTGCGGGCTACCGCCTGCGCTGTGACGTCCGCCGCGCTGGATGTTGGGGGAGCGCGGAGCATTCTTGGGAGGAGTTGGATTGGTGAGAAGGTGGAGGAGGTCCTTTTTTGGCCCTTGCCTTTGGAGAAGGGAAAGGGGAGTGAGAGGACGCTTGGGGCTCGGTCCACTTTTCCCTCGTTGTTGCAACGCCCCGGAACAAGGATTTGGTCTGATAAGTGGGTGCTTTTCGGGTATTAGAACGGATATATGCGTCTGGTGGATTTGGTGGTGGGCTGATGAGATTATGGGACGGATAAGGGGACCGAGGCGCGCAGACAGCCAAGACTGGATTCTCGGGTACGGCAAACACCTTACTAGGCCTTGGCGGAGTATAGCGGAATCGGATGCCTGCTTGAAATACAAGCTGTGGCGAAGGCGAATGAACACCATGTCCGATGTTGGCTACTTCTTCCACGGAAGAAGATATGCGGGCGGCGGGTGAGAATCCCCGGGGTAGTGGGCAAAGCTGCGTCCACAGCGAGATGTACCTCCCAATATGTATGTCGACAGAACGAGAGTCGTAAATCGTGTAAACCCTCGGGGTGTGGCTCCTAAGTGTGTATGCGGTGCCTTCCCGTGTACAAAGTCGAAGGAAATGCCAGAAGGGGAAAGCGAGGCTCGCGTTTGGGGTGTGAGAGGATATGCTACTTGCAGAGCTGTTGCTTCGTGTACAAAGCTGCAGATACCAAGTTGCACGCCCGGTCACGCGCAACTGTCAGGTTGCGCAGTAGACCAGTGTATATTGGTCCATTAGCAAAGTCGAGGGCCGGGGATTCATGCGCGGGCGTTATCCCAGTAGCGCTTTCTTGCGGCCATGGCGATCTTGTTGCCCATGAAGCGGTGCTGGAAGTAGTTGAAGACGGCGAACTCGTCCCGGTTGAGGACGTAGGACTCGGGCTGAGCGGCGACCTTTGCCCAGATCTGGCTGATAGCGCTCTCCAGGATGCTGCTAACAGTCGGGTCTGAGGCTCCATCTTCGCTCTCTCTGGCGATCTCGAGGGCCTGCGCAACGCTGGCTGAGTCCTTGAGCGAAGCTGGCGTCACCGAGACGGTGTTGCCGACGTGAAGGCTGTGACCCATACTGCTGGCGAGGCTGCTGAGGAAGGGCAAGTCGGTGCAAGGGCGGCTCGAGGAAGACAACGGTCTAAAGGGAAGGTAGAGGGACTGCTGGTGGTGATCTCCCTGGGGTGTGATGGACAGCATCGTAGTTTATAGAAGACGAGGTGTTGAGTATATATAAGATGGCGAAGGCGAGTGTTGATCTTTGGTGAAGAGGCAAATGTGTCCGAGGAGGTAAGAAGGCTGGGGAGGATGACAGATGATATATAATGTGATGGGCTGATCCGATCTGGTCTAGGTGACGGGGAGGGGCGACGATATTTAATGAGTAGCGGGGGGCAGCAACGAGGTGTAGGTTCTAGGTACAAGAGCCAGAACCACGGATGCTGGGTATCTCCAATAAAGAGGCGCGCACAGTTGTTTGACGTTGTGCCTTGGCTTGCGTTGTCTATTGCAGGGGAAGGGCTGGAGCTGGGTGTTGCTGTGGATTCGATGTGCGATGCAAATGTACCGATCCGAATAGGACAAATCCAACCCCGGATTAGACGGTTCTCTTATAGGAACTGGCCTTGTCACCACGGATGAGGGAGCGGAAGCGCAGCTCAGGACAGGTACGGGTACGGATAGTCAGGCATGGGTTGAAAAGTATAATCGTCCGTATAGAAAGTACGTATCTGGCAGGGAGTGTGGGATTCTGAATTTTAAATTGGGGGGAGTGTGGAAGGAAAAGGCCTTGGGGGAGTGTAATGAGATAAAGTGACAAGTGCAACAACAACAAAAAAAAAAAAAAGTGTGTGCGGGAGAGTGAGAGAGTGTGGGTGTGAGAAGGCGTGTAAGTAAGGTGTGGGATCAAAGACGACGGGTGAAGGGTGAGAAAAAGCTAGGCCCTGGAGTGTGAGTTGAGAGGCGTGGGAAGTGGGAGTGGGAGTGTGAGTGTGTGGTGTGGCGTGGGAGAGGTGTGCGTGGGTATGCGTGTAAGTCATCAGTCAGTATCCGTAGGTTGAGTTTCTCAGAGGGAAAGGAAGGTTGTCAGTTCCAGCCCAGTCTAATTCAAGTCGTGGGCCGTGGCATCAGCAAAACGAGACGAGGAAACAGATGTGCGGGTCACTCTCCTCTGTCGGTTGACAGTCGACCTGGACTCGCAACAGTAATGCGACCTGCATCCCGTCACCAAGAGACTGGGGGCTCCGTTGCAAGCATCCAGCCGCCATGCAGAGTGTATAACGTGGCGGCATTCATTAGCCTCGTACTGGATCTTGGCACCTAGAGGATAGGCTGGGTATTTGCTGGCTGGCTGTGAACCCAGAAGTGACAAGAAGAAGGTGGAAAGAATAAAAAAGGACATAAATTGCATGGGGTGAAAAGGACACCTCCTAGTACGCCGTGGGGAGGTAGTGTGGACAGCAGCGACAGATCCCAACCCGCGAAGAGTGGGGAGATGTGATGAGGTAGATGGTCCTCCCACGAACATGGAGAAGGGAGGGCGTGTAATAGCAAGGTGGGGATCTGGAAGGGTGAAAGTGAAGGGCAAGGGACAGAGGTGTTGGGGGCAGAGGGAGGGGACGGGGACGGGGGTGTGAATGTGGCTCAGCAGGAGAAAGGTTAAAGAACCCAGTAAGCGGCGATGAGGACGAGGACGACAATGACAACTTGTACCGACGGTATTTGACTGACTGACGGAGGTCGACGACGAAGGAACTGAACTCTAAGAGAAGCTTGCCTTGACCGGGAGACCATCGGTGTCTCCAATGTAGTCACGAGTTGCAGCTTGTTCTCAAAGTCCCTTAGACTTGCAGCCACCCGTCAGCCGTCAAAACCGTAACCAACGACTTGCAGCTAAGTGTAATTGCAATGCCGTGACCCGCGCTTTTGTTACTGGAGCCGATGCTGGCGCACGAGTAGGTACTGGGAAGAAGTGCTCATGCCTCCTGTTGTGCGTGGCATGAAGCGCGCAGTCCAAGGTCAAATGATGGTAGTAACAGTACTCTACGAAGTATAGCGCAGCGCAGCACAGCACAGCGCGGCACGGCTTTACGAGGGTAGGACGCGAATGCTAATCACCCATCAAGACCTAGATCGGGATGGAACAAGAGAGGCGTGGGTGACTCCACATGGCCAAAAGTCTCTTTGACACAACACCAGAACGGAGGTATTTCCGTTTTGGTCCAAGCTGTTTGGGAATGCGATTGACTGAGTGTAAAGACAATTCAGAGTTCCCGACGGTCGCTCTATCCAGTGTCTGAAGGCATGTCGGAATGCGCGTGTGATGCTGATAGTTGAGACGGACAATAGCAAGCACAGACTTGTGCGTACTGGACGGCGACGGTATGATGCAGATATGCGGTATGTGCGTGAGTTGGCAAAAAGCCTATGTTCGGTTGGGCTGTGAAAAGTCAAGACGGTGTGGCGAAGAGGCAGGAGGAACGAGTAAAGACGACGGCGGGCAGAAGAGCACGACGGAAGAGTGGATGTGAAGGTTGGCGTTTACCGCGTATAGGCATGATTAATGAAATATGAGGCCCGGTGAGGCCAGTCAAGGCTGAGATGGAGGGGTGAGACAACGGTTTTTTTCCTTCTTTCCTATTCTGAGGGTGGGAGCCCGACGACAGCCTACGGGCTAGGAACAACGACAGGCTGTTTTGCCTCAAGTTGAGATGCTCCATGTGTTCGCAGGTAAGCTAGTTGCTGTTAGTCAAGAGAAAAGGTCTAGAAGCATGCTCCTCTGCGTTTCGATACCGTCCTAGCAAAAGTGGGCGAGCAGAAAAAAAGGGGGCAGGCTTGCTATGGCGAAGCTGCAGCAGCAATTGCAGCAAATGGATAGGCACGAGAGGCTATCGATCAATCAGGTCTGTCTTGGGAGTTCCCTGCGAGCAGAAAGACTGCCCAGTGGCTGTGGAAGGGAGGATCGATGTCTCTGGAGCGAGCACGTTTGAGAAACAGGGCGTTGAGATGACACTCCTGACTCTCGAGTGTTCTGCTGCCATCAGACCTCTAGCCACTAGTGTTTAGTTGCAGAAAAAGGTGTGTCGGTAGCCAGTCGCCTGGCAGGAGACTGAGTGTGGCTGCGTATGACAATTGGTGGTAACGGTATCCATAGGACAATATGCGAGAATGTATGTGTGTGTGTGATATGGCAAAGAGCGACAAGGAGCATGTCAGTAGGAGAACCTAAGGGCAGTTGGGAGCCAGGAACCAACCAGAATGAGGCTGGGTTTGATGCAGCGTCACTCTTGCCCTTGGAATGGTCCATCAGAAATTCAGAATGATCAGGGCAGGCAAAAGGTGGGTCCGGACTTATGGTCTAGCGCCTGTTCCTGACCCGCTTTTACAAACCCGGCCAAGGCTGCGTTAGTCATGCTGGTGTCCATTGACTGACTTGCAGTAGTCAGGAGCTCAGGGCTCCAAGACTTTCAAGAGCAGATGCTACGGGCCTCACCCGCACCCTCACCTATCTCACCTTCCCTACCCAATGCAGCACAGCCAAAGGTGGACGAGGGGGGACGGGAAACTGGAAGGGGGTAATCGGAACGGTCCAGTCCAACTTCGCTTTAGCCGCACTACGCTTATTGCGCTGCTCAGTGCATAGGCGCATAGACAATCCCAGCTCCATCACCTTGGCTCAGCGATATTACCTTCTCTCCGGGCGGCCTGGCCACCTTACCAGTACGGAGTACTTCGCCTACCTTACTGACTACGGATACTATGTGCGGAGCACTTTGTATACCTACTAGGTAGCGTAGGTACGAGTACCCGTTCCAGAGTACGTACACGGAGACGCACCCGGCGCCTCTGATTCGCTGCATTGTCTTTCAACTGACTTGACGCTGGGCGGTTAATTGCGACTCGTCCTGGCCATTGCAACCTTATTCCGAGCCCTGTCATTATTACCAACTCAATAACCACCGGAATGGAGGCTTTCACGCCTGGTTTTGCTTCTGTTTGGTCTCCGTGTACTGGGGCTTTTTGCCTTTCTTAGCTCTGGCTCTGGCTCAGCCTTTCTTTCTTACGCAGTACGTCTTTGACCTTGGCCGAGGTTCCTGAAGCCTAAGGTGGGCGGATGGCACCAATACAGGCAACCGCGCGAGAAGAGGGGGCTGATGATTTGATGCATCATGAGATGGGAATGGACCTCTTGTCACTTGAAGACAATTAGAATGCAACTTTCGCACTCCCCGCCGTGTCATCCGTGGAGCTTACCCTCCAACTATCCAACTGAACTCGAAGCTATCCCTGCCATTGCAATAACTCTTACACCCTAAAGCATGTGCCGCCATGCGAAAAGAAAGACGTGCGGTTACCCGAAGGCTGAAGACAGGTAAGCCACCGGGCGGCCGCCCCTCTAGGCTCAAAAGTCCACCCTCCACTCCCTTTACCCTTTCCACACTATCCGCCCTTCACCTCGCGCCTTTCTCGCGTCTTCACCCCCATGCGGCGACGCCCATCCCACTGACCCATGAACCGGGATACACACATTTCCCTGTGGCTTTCGGCTTAAAGAAAAAAAACGTTCTCTTTGCGCTAGGTAGGTAGGGGCCGCGGGAAAGCATGTTCTCAACAATCAAACAACCAAACAATTAATCTTGGGGGCCTTGCCAGGCCACGCCTGGTCTAGCTGACTTTTTGTTTTGTTTTCGTTTTTTGCACCTATCCCAAGCTTCATCTTGATGTCCTGGTGGGCTCCGCAACATACGTAAGTCTGCATTTCGAGGAGTTTAAAGTGCGGATACCCTGGACCCAAGGATATGATCCATCACATCAAGGAGACAGACGTCCCCATGGTGCCCTTGCGCAAAGCATTACGGTGTACGGATATGAACCAACAATGGAACGATATGCATGCTCTCTATTACAGAGTACGTAGAGGAATACACGTAACACAATACAGAGACAATACGTTGCAAACACGCTTGTGTATCCCTCTTCAGATACTGGACAGGGACTAGAATCCTCTGAACCTTCGCCCTGAAGTTGCCTGCCGTAGCACAAGTAGGTATCGCATCGAACTCTGGGCATCGTACCGGGTCCCTTGCTATCACTTGGTGCCCATGTCTTGCTTGACAAGCCATCACATCTATTCCCTCAGGTCGCACAGGGGGAATGAACCGTCTCAATGCCTCACATTTTGACGGGATACCAACTGCAGATGTCCATGATTCACAGTCAAGTATCAGATGTAATACTCCCGAACGGTGAAAGAGAAAACATTCACAAAAAGAGAAAAGGATCTGCCATGATCCGTCTCATCCCTGGCCCTATGACACCATAGCGTGCTAATCACTGGAGGTTGGGGGCCGCCCGCGTCGCGGTTGATTGCTTGATTGTCTGATTGCCAGCCGGGAGTCGTCGTTGTATACGGTACGTACATATCGATATCCCGTTGTGCCATTCTCGACTACGGGGTTGCTCTCCGTTTTGGCCCCCTCGTGCAGCAGCTTTCGCACTAGGGCCCTCCCATCCCCCGTCCATCAGTCTGTAGCCACAAGGGACCGGCACGGGACCAGAAACCTCCCAGCTCCCAGTCCACTGGATCTGTCGAACCAGGATACCCGTCCCCTCTCTTCCCTTGGATTGAAAAAGTGTGTATTTCCATGTATAAATGTGGTGGTCAACGCTCTGTGCTCCTCTGGTGTGAGGAGTGGCTTTTTCCTCCTTCTCCATTGTGTCGTATTTAATCAGCTTGTCAGCGTATTGTTCTCTTCTCGACGACAAGGTTGTCTAAGTCAGGTCAACCGACCCCTTGAGTATCCCGTACCCGTAGCCGTAGGTATTCGTAGCTTTCCCCTGCTATCGCCAAGACTTTCCCTCCACCCTTCATCCCGGCATGTCCTGGCATCTACGGTACAGAGTACAGACCACAACCCTTCTTTCCTGCACCCTCGCCCCTCGGAGCACAAGGTGAGGGGCACCTTGGCCTAACTACACGTCTTCTCGGGCTGAAGTGCGAGGGAGGTGACGCCGCAAGGAATGTGGAAATTTGCTGCCTGCATGGACAGCGAAGTGCCTTGTTTTACAGTAAACTCTATCTTTCCGAGTTGCTGGGAGGGAGCGAGCCGACTTCCGACCCGGGATTGGCGACGCGCGGGACGGAATACCATAGGGAAGTTGGACTGAATTTTGGGGGGTTTTTTTCCCTTAGGGGGAGTGGTCCTACGATCGAACGACGGCTGAGAGCCAAGCTTCCATCCCTTCCCTTTCGCCCTTCCCGCTCTGCTGCCCACAGCACCATCCGTCCTTCGCCTGTCTGCAGCTGTGTGGATCGGGATGGGCAACAACATCGTCATGGCTCCAGAATATCTAAGTTTTACAGTGTTTTCTTTTTCCTGTTCGTGATTCCCGATGTTTGCGCCATCCCGCCAACATCGTGGCAGCCACCCTTCTTCGCCTCCCGTCCGAGACGTTGTATAACCTCATCCCGAGGTATGGCAACTGCGATCCTCCAGGACAAGCCCCCCAATAGGGCAAGACTCCCGTTGTTGGATGGATGGATGGATGGATATGCCTTTCTCATCAAGAGTCAGACGAGGCCCTGCCTTGATACAAACTCTCTTTTGATTATCATCATTCTCTCATTGAATCCTCCGCCTCTCTATCGCTGGCACCGAATTAGCTACCCATTTTTAACCATCTCGGCCCTTTCATAGCCTTGTTGTTCGACATGCCCCAACGTGCCAGCCGGGCCCAGCGACTGCCACGCTTGCTTTCGGTCGTTGACCGAGACCAGCCCCATGCGTGCGATTCATCAACGCCTCACACCCAGCACGACGCTGACCCATTCTCTGTGGCGTTGCAGCGAAGGTCACTCTAAGCAGGGAACCCCGAAGTTGCGAGGTTCCGTTGTAAACTCTCTGAGAGAGAGCACGAGAGCTACCCCAGCTCGTCTTCAACCCGTACGTAGCACCCTACCTACTACCTCGACACACCAAACTGGTACAACTAGCTATTGTAGATAGTGTACAAGGGCGCTCGCTCATTCCCCCGCACGTCCAGTAATTGAGGGAGAAAAGCTCTCTGGAGCTGTCTAATCGTTGGGCCATTGCGATGATTCTATTCGCTGGATGGAGCCCTATTCGTTCCTTTTTGGCATATTTGTTGTCCAAATTTACGTTTGCGCGGACCCTGAATAGTCTCTGGAGCCTACTTGCCGACAACCCGCTTAAAGGCTGAAGCACCGCCTTACCTGACTCTCGTCATCAAGACATTGACCTCAACTTACGTAGAGATTGGCTGGTTCGTAAAGCTGGAGTTGTAGGATCTTCACTAGCTCCCTGTTATTTGACCGTTTGGGCCCCCGGCTCTCAGTGACTCTCGAAATCACCACGCAACGGCAACCCCTACAACCAACCCACTGTGGAGTTTCTCTCTAGGTTGTCTTTCCGCCTGGGCTTTGGGAACGGTCCAACAGTGTCTAGGGCATGAGGTTCGACAGCGGAGAAGTAATCAGAATGGGGCCTTGGCTTCCTTACGAAACCTCGAAACCATTACCGCACTTAGTCGACATCTCCGTCGCTTAGCCTAAAATGAATGAATGGTCCCACACCTGGGCCGCGGTGCATGTAGCTACGTACTCGTTTACTACTGTATGTAACGGTATTAGCTTGCTCGACCCCTTACTCTTCCCGGGGCGGCTCTCGATCTCTGATCTAGCCGACGTCTCGGGCCCCGCAAGTGCCATAGGCCCGTTTGCTAGATTGCTAGAACACGCGCTATGTGAAAGGCAAGGATTGCAGGAAAACCCCGAACCACCGCCAATGAACAGCTTGATAATCATCACCAGCCTGCTGGGTCTTTGTGGCAAAGCAGAGCATCTGTATAAGCCCGCCCGCGTTCGAACCAGATCTAGTCCCGAATTTTGCGGAGTGGCTGGTCCCCCAAAGGGCTGAAGAACACACACTACGGAAGCATACAAGAGGGTTTGGCATACGTCCGTAGCACTACGGATATCAGATGGCGCAATACTCTATTCTTTGACCGAGAGCGCGCGGTCTCGACGACGGCGCCAACGCTACCGGGTCTCCAACGGCGATACAAATTTCGTTACTCAATAACGAGGTAAACCTTGGAATTACGATGACGACTCCTGGGGCCAGTCGAGATTGTCGTGAAACAGACCTGACAACTGAGCGGTGGTCGCTCACCACGGAGGTGTGTCCCAGTTGGGAAAATGCTAGTCGCTCCTCCGAAAGGCAAAGCGGCATCACAGCAGTGATGAGCACCGCAGTGTGCCAGGCAGAGACTGGGCTTGGAGCTGGGCCGGGTCCGGCACAGGGGGCCTGCTGCTCATCTTTGGCATTCCTCCTATTCCTCCGCGGACCGTCCGCCTCTCTCCCGAATTCAGAGTTTGTTTCTGAGCAGCGGCTTTTCCGGACCGGTTGTGGATCGATCATCGTCTGTTCTGGCCTGCCTGTCCACAATTCCACCGCCTTGCCTGCCTCGCACTTTGGGAGCTCCGGGTGTGCCAGGCCACGGAACGGCACAGAAGGGCGGCTTGGTGATGGGGTCAAGCGGAGTTGGGGTGCGTTGGTCAGCATCGCACGAGACACCCGGGCCAGAGCATCAGCCAGTTGCAGGTACTTGTTCGACACGGTTTTGGCAGAGCATGCAATAGTGAAGGCTGAACGTGAGGTACCTGGAATGGAGACAGATGGGCGAAGGGGCCGAGGGTAGTGTAAGGTAGGGGGAGGCCAACTTCAGATCCCGAAGTTGCTGGGGGGCCCCCCAGGCCCCGCGTAAGAAACAGAGTTTTGATCCAAAACCTAGACAGCTTGTGTGGCTTCCACATGGTTATCATTTTTGGAAACCCCATCTCACTCATCGCTGACAACGACCGACGACAAACGACAAACGTCAAAGAAGGGTTCTGCTCCGTGGAAAACCGGGGCGAGTCAGGATTCGACGGTCCACCGGTTCCCACCTGTTCCACCGGTTGGACGTGCTGCCCTGGCCCTCTTTCTAGAAGACCGAGAACTTTAAATTCTGGAGAAGTACGGAGCCGGGCTGGGTGATCATGCAGAGGCCTGACAAGCAGGAACCAACAGTGCCACGGCAGACGTGAGGGAGGGACGCTGTGGGTGTCTACCGTTTGAGGTAGACGGTCAGGTCCCGGTCAGGCGGCGGTGAACCGGATTCCATCTCTCAGCAACCCACTCGGACTGAGCAATGAGAAGCACTCCTCGTCCGTTACTGAGGTGGCCAGTAAACTCTATGCTCCTTCAGCTCTCAAGTGTGGAGAGGTTGACAGAAGACATCACCGTCAGGACCCACGCGAGAGTCTCCAGGGGGGAGCCAAGAGGCGAGTCGCGGATAGGCAAGGCAAAGCGAGGCAAGAGGCACCCTATTCAGTGCCGTGGCACCGTTCCGCACCTCGATTTCTGCTAACGGGGTAAAGAAATCTCAAGGGTCTGGATGGCTCTACAGACTTCCGGAGATTGTGGGCGGGTCGGCTTCGACGGGAAGCACATCGCGGCCACCGACCAAAGCTCTCACCGTCGCGTGGCCAGGCCCGATCAACCAGCCTTCAATCGGCTACATTCCGTTGCCCACTCTTACCAACAGCCACCATCACCACCCGGTGCTTGGTCCAAGTACGCCGCAGTAAAGCCGTGCCCGTGCCGGAGACCTGCGTCACCTTATCAATATGGGATATCATGACCGGCTGGGAATCCCCTCGCGGAGTCGGTTCAACTAAGGCAGTAGCTCAGCTGTGGGGTTTTGACGTTTGGTGCTCACCACAGACCTGTGCGCGCCACCAAGACTGAAGCGCGGTCTTGTTGAGTTTAAGGAAACCATGAATCGAGCATGATTCTCGAAGCCCGGAAGAACATTCAGTAGCGCTGTTTGCTACATGCGCTTGGACGACGCTTTGCTCCTCGCTTGTCTTGCATCCGCTGTATGTCAACATTAACCCTTTCATCCGTTCCAGTCCCCACGCAAAGGCCCTCACTGGGCCCTTGACTTCGGGCATGACGTTTCGACGATGGGAAGATTCAGCAAAACTTTGGATAATTCCCACACACTCGGGAGTCACGGCTCGTTGACAGCCCAGCGTCGATTACAATGCGAGAACACAAATAGTGCCGTCTGTTGGTCATCATGCCGTGCACTTCCGGTAGCACTTTGTATCGAAGCAAAATTCTATTCAGCCAAGCCAACTGTATTATACACATATCGGCACAAAGTTTGCGACCTTTGCGGAACGCTCTTGACGATGCTGGTCCAATGGTGAGTGGATCTATAAGTCGTCAATAAGAAAAAACAGGACCGATTCGCACGCCAATCCCGAGAATAAGGCGAGCGTCTCGTTCAGTTGATAATACATTAAGGAGGTGTCCCGGGCATCCCAGGACCTCCGACCCACCAGCCCGGCGGAGGCTGGACGGGCCCCAGATTTCGGCTTATTTGCTCCGCCGTTTGCCGATCTGCCATCCCCATGATCTGAGCACCTTGACAACCTTTGGTGTTACCGCGGCGGTCAAAGGCACTCTGAGGAAGATGAAACTTTTGTGGATTGCATATGCCAAAGCCAACTGAGTTCCCAAGCCTACAACAAAGTCAGTTCGTGAGCTTCTCAACCCTCTGCCTCGAGAGTTCTCATGATGCAGATCATATCGACTCACTGGCTTCCGCTTTGTTGGCGCGCTGCGCTTCCTCAACTCCCCAGGTTGTCTTCTCAACTGCATCGCTGATGTCGTTGTTTCCCAGCTGCTCGGTTTCGGCCTTGCTGAGTGCGGCTCTGTATTCGGTCCACCAGGTCTTGACCGAATCAGGGATCACTTTTTGAACGTGGGACACTACCCAGTGCTCCAGTTGGCCTACAGCCTATGTGTCAGTACTGACTCACCACACTTAGACTCGCATATATTGCTCACCAATCCGGTCAGTTCCAACGGTCCGCACGAGCAGGAAACAAAAGGGAAAATCCAGAACGCTCAAGGCCAGATACACGCCGACGGCCGACCATCCATACTCTCGCGAAAGCTTCTTGAGCCTTTGGCTGAGCGAAAGCGATTCCTTGGCAGTACCGTTGGCTGAGTTGCTCTGCCTGGCTGAGAACCGGAACGTCCGGCGTGATGACCGGAAGATGGTTTCGAGCCGAGACGTGATCCAACTTGAAGTCTGACTTTGCGACCAGCGGAACTGGGATTGCGATGTGCCATGTCGTTGATACGTTGCTCGCGAGGGTGTCGTCTTGAAAGTTCTTGTTGGCGCAGTAAATTGCCTCCTCCACAATGCCTCTGTTGCATTTTGCCTCGCTGCCGGTATCGCACGGCGCGGTATGGTTGCCAATTGGAAAGCCGGTCGCATCATCTTGATGGCTAGCAAGGTCACGCCAGTAGCCTCTAGATACGGGTTGTTGATTCTTATGGCTTGCTGTGGTATGTCTCGACTCGAGTCAAGGTTGTAAGGTCGGTCGTGGGTGACGGGTGAGACGCGCCGAGCTTATCGAGCTGGCGTGCAAACGGAATTTCTGTTGGGAGCTTAGGGTCCGAATCGCCGTAAACTCCGCGTGGATGACGACAAAAAGTGTGTTTTGCCTCCGATGTGCCGTCGTCGCCGAAGCTTCCAGTTGTTGGGGTGCGCACACAGTAAGCCCAAAAGTTCGCAGAAAGGCTCGGTCGCACTGATCAGTGCGGATGCTGCTTCGGTGGCGTACGCGCGCGATGAAAGTCACGTTGGTTTTCGCGCCTTTGACCCTGGATGTTGAAAAAATCTGACGAGAAATGGAGCTCTTCCGACGAGCTGCCCAGCTGTGTCGTGGGTACGTACCCGGTAAAGGCGGCAGCAGCGGGCGGAACATGCCGTCAGAGGTGTGGCTTGTGTGAGGTGACGTTCAGATCACGTGAGATAGCTCGGAAAAGATTGGCCCCGGGATCCGACTTCATCCCATCCCCCGGAAGTCGGCCCGGGTCAGTCTCAGATACGGACGTGTCTGCGACAAGCCACAAACTTTACTCTCACTACGCATTCGTAGTGTCTTACACGCCCCACGATAACTTCACCGCCATCACAAATCTCTCGCACTGACTAGTCCGTCCTCCTGGCTCCAACAACAGGCAGAAATTTCGAGTGGTCCGGAACCAACAATTTCGACTCATCACTCATTTAAAGTTAAGAGTCCGCAATCTGCGGAATGTGGTAGCTTCAGCGCATCGCTGCGATATTCTCCCATTCGCTCGCATCAAATTTACGAGGGCCATCTCAACTTAAAATCGTATTAGGTGATTAAATAAATTGTCAGCAGGTCTGAGAACTGATGCGATCCCTCGAGTGGAAAGGTTTGCCTACGAAGACACATTACTTTCCCTCAGGATCTCTGCTTTGCCCCACGATCTCTTCTGGGTTGAGGGTTATAGGGAATTCGCCCAGGGTGTTGAACAGGGGCTCCCACTTTCGAAGCTATCCAATGGCTCAAGCTCCGTGACACCTCGGAGTATGGATAAGTCGGCTGCGCCATCCTCCGTCCAAAGCTTCGTAGAAGTCCTCGGTGTTTCTCTGGTAGCAGCTTCTCCTTTCCTCCCAACTTTGTAGATAATGATGATGATGCAACTATCAAGGATTTCATCCAACGTTGACAGTTACTCTAGGAGGTAACCGGATAACTCAATACAAACTTTATCGCGATATATGTCAGCATTCAGGTTTTCTGCCAAACTTTGGAGCGCGCTTCGTAATATTGTACAGGAAACGAGGGGTTCGTAGTCAGCCCGAAGATTATCCAGGTTGGACATTCGTCGGATTTAGGTCCGATCAGCATTGGCATTACCATCCTGGCATCGCCATGGAGTTCAAACATGAACGTGTCATGGACCGACCAGGACCGCCTAGGACCGCCAGGATCAAGCTCCTTAGCCCCGATTCCCGCTGTTGCTGCAGTCGCCGCCGTTATGCAATTCCACCAACCGACCGCACTTCCGTCCCCGAGACCCGGAAGACGGTGGGCGGAGAGGTCGGTGATCCCGAACTGCCATGGCTTCGATAGTGCTGCTTAGGAGTTTCTTATATCACCTTGATAAACTCTGAATTCTACCGAATGATTCAACCGAATCTTCGAGCGTTCACTATTGGTGTTTCAGTTCAGCCTTGTTGACCGCTTCAAGTGCGACCAAACTTTGCAGGCAGCAGGTGATCACGGTGATCTCTCCGTCGAGACAGTGCAACTAGTGGGATATCAATAGCGTAAACTTTCTTAAGGACCCTTCAACCCCGTCCAGGTCCCGGTAGAGCGCGCTTGCGACGACCGTGCGGGGCCCGGCAGGCAGAAGGGTCTTCCACGGACAAGGTTTGCGATACAAGTACGAGTGCTGGTCGTCAGGGATGCGAAAGTCAAATTCCCGCCAGGGCCCGCCGGGCTGAAAGTCAGGATGCTTTCTGGTTTTTACATTACACACAGCTTACATTTCACGGCCTAGGCGTCTTCAGTCGCACGATATGCCGTTGGTTCGAAATTGAACGAGGCCACGACGTGCACCACCAGTGTTCGTGGTTCATGGGCCATGGCAAGACCCTCTGGACATCTGGGTCCCCTGGTACGATGCCAACCCCCACCACGGATATTTTGCTTGGCGTCTACTTGGATCGGATGCACACATCCTGGTGGTAGCTGACTTGTGGGCGAGGGGGTGAACGTAAGGATGATCAGTGTGGGTGGGTGTGCGTTTGTCAAAGCGTGTGTGTGTGTGTGTGTGTGCAAGAGCGATGCGTGCCCAGAGACGTGAGTGACTTGCAGCTCTCTGAATGCTAGCATTCGATGACACAGGCACGTATTCGATAGTTCGGATGGTCTATTTTTTGAGGTTTTTTTTGCCCTTTCCACCACCACTTTTTAGGTGGCCTTCGCGGCTATCGCGGGAGTCAGGACCCCGCGATACTTTTCCA